CACTGCCAGCCGCCACGATGACAAACAGCATGTGAAGATGCCGGTAAACTATGAGCCATGTGGCAAGGTATAGATTAATGGAAATGGATTAATTTAAGTTGTAAGGACAGTTAGCAAGAAGCCTGCCACGGCCATACAGTTTGTAACCAATATAAGTCTCTGTGTTTACTTGGTCGGGTCTGAGCGTCTGTGGGACTGGCATGTGAGAGAGATTTGCCCTAACTGTGGGCCAGGCAGGAAAACTCTAGCTACAACTGATAGTGTCTTTGAAAGATCAGTAGCTGTTGTGCCCTGTTCTTGTACAATCTGGATGGCTGCTGACTGTTCCTTATAATATCTTCTAATATTTTTCTCAGAAACATGTGTTAGTTTGTGGTTTGTTTCTGAGACTGGAAGAATGTTAATCTGGGTATTCTACTGTTGTAATAAATCACAGCCCTATAAATTCATAGCTATGTTAGCCACATACACTGTTCATTTTCCTGTCTGTCTTTCTGACCCTATATATTTGACCCATCTTATGTTCTATTTCACTTGAGATAATGTTCCAATCCCTAACAGCTGAACATTTACCTCCTGAAGAGGCCAATCTGGATACCAAGATTCTGGTGCAATTATTGTTACATCCACACCTATGTCTACAAGACCCTCAATAAGAACATCATTTATGGCCGGGCGGTGGTGGCGCACGCCTTTAATCCCAGCACTCGGGAGGCAGAGCCAGGCGGATCTCTGTGAGTTCGAGGCCAGCCTGGTCTCCAAAGCGAGTTCCAGGAAAGGCGCAAAGCTACACAGAGAAACCCTGTCTCGAAAAACCAAAAAAAAAAAAAAAAAGAACATCATTTATGGCCGGGCGGTGGTGGCGCACGCCTTTGATCCCAGCACTCGGGAGGCAGAGCCAGGCGGATCTCTGTGAGTTCGAGGCCAGCCTGGTCTCCAAAGCGAGTTCCAGGAAAGGCACAAAGCTACAGAGAAACCCTGTCTCGAAAAAAAAAAATCATTTATTCATATTTTTAATTTTTGGTCTTTGTTCATTTATAGAAGTTTGACAAAAAATTCACTTTATGGTTTTTCCTGAATTTTTTTGTTCTCTCTGCTGTAGCTCTTCTATCACCCCAAGCACTAGGATTTTTTACAATAAGCATTTGGATATTTAATTACTCTGGGAGGGGTTTTCTTCTACAAGGCAGGAAAGGACTGAACTGAATTTGCCATGTGGGCCTGCGAGAGGCCAGTCAAGAGGACCATCAAGGAGTTTCCCAATGGCAAAGGCGAAGGATGACCTTGTCTGTCCCTTATTGATCTACATCATTAGTCCACTGTTTGCCTTTACCACACCTTCTGCATAATCCAGAAGGGAGGGGCGTTCTACTGCCATTGTTCCTTGAAGAAACATTTCTAGGAATGCCCTGTTTACAGTCCCTTTTTAGGTGACCTTGCTTATCATAATTAAAGTATCTGACATTTTTTTTCAGTCCTCAGGAAGTCAACTCGCCTATCCATGTATCATCATCAGGAGATTCAATATTAATTGTATCTCTGATCCATTATTCCAAGGGTACTGATCTTGCCTTTAATGGTCTAATTATCCTTTTGCATGCTGCATTGGCCTTTTAAAGAGCCAGAGATTCAATTATTATCTGTCTAGCTTCTGAATTTGGTATCATTCTATTTACTGCTGAAGACAGCCTTTGTAAGAAATCTGTGAAGGTTTGTTTTGGGTGCTGTATAACTCTTGTAAATGACTCAATTTTCTTTCCTGCTTCTTCAATTCTGTCCCAAACACTCAGGGCAGCCATTCAGCAGAAAATTAGGGTGTGGTCATCATATAAAGATTGTCTTTTTATTATCAGCATAATCACTGTGGTGAGCCACAAGGAAATGATACAGGGAGTCCAGTTGTATACAAAAGTATATACTTTGACCAACCCATGGTCCGTCAAATGGGAAGTCATTTATCAACAAACATTTGGTGTTATACAGCTTCAATATTCAGCTGCATCTTGCTATGAATTCCTTGTGCTCATAATTGTCGAACCTGTGTGTGTGAACCACCGTCTCAGGCATATATGCTCAAACTACTTGGATAAAGTCACATAGGCACAAATTTCTGCCTGAGCTCCTGACTCCCTATTTTAGCATTTGAATTGGGTATATGTCTTTTGCAAATATTTCCTTTGAGCCACATCCAAAGATAGGGCCAGCCCCAAACAAAGCATTGAAAGACAAGCAAGGAACAGAATGGCTACCAGAGCACCTGCCTGGTGCCTGAAGCCCCTAAACTAAGGTAAAATGTCCATTCAGAGGCAACCTGGCTCCTAGATGTATAGCTTTGTTTCTTGTGCCAATGAGGTTCTGATTATCCCCTTCCTTCAGGCCAGGGGCATGGCAGCCAGATTGAGGACAATAACGTTTTTTGCATAACCAGGCACACTAAGGACTGGAGCAGAATTCCACAAGCACACACAGAAGAGAGGAATAGAGATTCTGTAGAGGGTAAAGCAGATCTCTTGTAGAGTTTATCAGGGCCAGGGGTAAGGACCCAGGATGGAAGGGGGAGGTTGAAGGAACAGAGGACAAAGATGAAACCAAAAACATAAGGGCTTAGTCATTACCAGGGTTATGAGGGGACAGAAAAGGTAGGGACATAGAGGAACGGAGAGTCAGGACAGAACTGAAGCTGTATAGATAGAGTTTTGTCATAAAGTAAACAGACAAAAGAGCATAGTGTACATAGATTCTTTTCCCTCGGATTCCCCACACCCAACACAGCATCTTTTCCTGTGGAAAGAAACTCTGGCAGGATTTTCTCACAGCTGGAACTTGGGAAAATTCCATTAATCACCTTCTCCAAAAAATTGATCTTGGGAAATTTCAAAACCACTAGCCCTACATCATTGTTCTATAGTCTTAGCCTCCTCTTTCCACCAGGTTCTTCATTGTAACTGTGGCCCAGCCTCTAGGACAGCTGTAACCAAATCTTTCTAGTCCTGAGAGAATAATTCTATTATAAGTAGGCCAACAGTTTAACATCTGCTTTACAAGTGGGGAATGCATACAATATGAGACTATAGCGTCTTTAAATCTCCTCAAATCTAACATTTCCACTGGAATCCAGTTAGCTTGTATACAGCCTTGAAGCATTTGGCAGTTCCTGTAAGGGTACTTGATAGATTGATTGTTTGAAAACAGGCTGTTTCTCTGTAACCGTATAATTCAATGCTGAGATAGGTTCACATTTAAATTCTTCTGTCTGGGTCTGAATTTCTCTATGATTTGTTTTAACAAGTTTTTCTAAAACCTTTATCTTGGCACTCAAATTAAACAACCTTTTTAATGCTAAAATAAAAATGACCCAACAAATAATATTCATTATTGACATTATGTAAAACCCATCAACATTAATTATCCCTTGTAAATTGTTCCATTTTCAGACTGCCTAATGTGTTGTCATAGACCAAATATCCCCCATTGTAAATATGTTTCCCATATTTTTAATGTGGATAAATTTCTTAGGCCTTTCTGTGCTCTGGCTTGCTCACTCACTAGTCCAGCCCCGTTCTCCAGGTACTTAAGCAGCCAAGACCAAGGGGCAGGAATCAAGGGCTACAGTGTGAGTTCTAGGACAGCCTAGGCAACTGAGACAGACTCTGTCTCAAAACACACACACAGTTTTGTTTTGTTTTCTAATTTTGTGTTTGTTGGCAGTTTTGGTTTGGTTTTGGGGCAGGGTCTCAGTGTGGCCCTCAGTGTATGAAGAACTGGCTACATCAATGCTTTCATATCAGATGGCTCTCCTTGGATAGAACGGTTGCTTAGCACACACAAGACCTCTGCATAAACAACATCGTAGTGAAACCTGTCATGCTAGTAATGAGGTGGAACCAGAAAGGTCTTAAGTTCAAGGTCAGCCTGAACTTCATCAGTCTCTTTTAAAAAAAAAAATTAACAAAAAAATATCAGGGCTCAGTGGATATCGTGGCATGGTTCAACAGGTAAAGGTACTTGGAACCAAGACTGATGGACCTGGTGTGGTCCTCAGAACCTAAATGGTAGAAAGTAAGAACTGGGTAACACAGGCTTTTATCTCATTTCAAACTATACTATCCATGTGCACTCACTAAGACAAAAATCATAAATTGAAAATTAAAAGAAAAAGGGATGAGAGATGGTTTAGCAGTTTAGTACCTAGGGTGGACTGCACAGTGACCATTACTACTTGACAAAGGTCCAGCATTTTGACATTGCAGATCTTAATTATCCGGCATCATTTTATTTCAATTTTAATAATTCTCACTATATGTGATGAGGTCTCCTTATCTCTTTTACTGTAGGAATTTTTTTGTGAGCTACAATGGAAGATGAGAATGTATACATAGGCAGTCCTTGAAACAAAATTCATAGAAAATATCCCCACCACCATGGAACCATATAACATGATAACGATGCCTACTCTCACACAAGAATCCCCATTGTATCCCCGAGTACACCAAGAATAGAAAAAATGATTTAATAACTGGGCATACCTAGTTCCAAGGATGAAAGCACACTGGAAGAAAACAATGGGCTCACATCCACAAAGGCATTTAGATACTTGCTGAATTTATCACTTTTGCCTCAAGAAAAATGCTGTGATGAGGTTGATAGCTGCTTTTAGCCTGGAATCATCAAGTCTGTTTTTAACCTTGCTTTAGTCTAAACTGAGATTCAGTTATACAGCATAAAGGGTATAGTCCTTTTTCAATAAAGCAGAAGCCATGCTGATTAACGCTAAGATCATGGCCGTCTCCTTCCTTTGCTAATGCCGATCTCCTCTTAGGGACCTGAACCCCTTTGGAGCTGGACTCTAGCAGATACGTCCTGTAGACATTCAGTTTGCAGCACCCACATGGAAGATCACATCTGAAATTACCACGATTACATCCATATGGTACAGTCCAGTATGAATTTTTTCATGACTGTGAAGATGGCTCTTCCGTGCAAAAGTTTTACCACATTCATTACATTCATATGGTTTCTCTCCAGTATGAATTATTTCATGTCTGTGAAGATTTCTCTTCTCTGCAAAGTCTTTACCACATTGATTACATTCATAGGGTTTCTCTCCAGTATGTATTATTTCATGTCTGTGAAGATTTCTCTTCTCTGCAAAGGCTTTACCACATTGATTACATTCAGGGGTTTCTCTCCAGTATGAATTATTTTATGTCTGTTAAGATTTCTCTTCTCTGCAAAGGTTTTACCACATTCATTACATTCATAGGGTTTCTTTCCAGTATGTATTCTTACATGTCTGAGAAAATGACTCTTCTGTACAAAGGCTTTACCACATTGATTACATTCATAGGGTTTCTCACCATTATGAATTCTTTCATGACTGTGAAGATGACTCTTCAATGCAAAGGCTTTACCACATTGATTACATTCATAGGGTTTCTCACCATTATGAATTCTTTCATGACTGTGAAGATGACTCTTCAATGCAAAGGCTTTACCACATTGATTACATTTATAGGGTTTCTCTCCAGTATGAAGAACTGCATGAGTATGAAGATGACTCTTCTGTGTAAAGGTTTTACCACATTCATTACATTCATATGGTTTCTCTCCAGTATGAATTATTTCATGTCTGTGAAGATTTCTCTTCTCTGCAAAGGCTTTACCACATTCATTACATTCATAGGGTTTCTCTCCAGTATGCATTCTTACATGAATGAGAAGATTTCTCTTCTCTGCAAAGGCTTTACCACATTGATTACATTCATAGGGTTTCTCTCCAGTATGAATTATTTTATGTCTGTTAAGATTTCTCTTCTCTGCAAAGGTTTTACCACATTCATTACATTCATAGGGTTTCTCTCCAGTATGTATTCTTACATGACTGAGAACATGACTCTTCTGTACAAAGGCTTTACCACATTGATTACATTCATAGGGTTTCTCACCATTATGAATTCTTTCATGACTGTGAAGATGACTCTTCAATGCAAAGGCTTTACCACATTGATTACATTCATAGGGTTTCTCACCATTATGAATTCTTTCATGACAGAGAAGATGACTCTTTTGAGCAAAGGCTTTACCACATTGATTACATTCATAGGGTTTCTCTCCGGTATGAATTCTTTCATGACTGAGAAGATAACTCTTCTGTGCAAAGCGTTTGCCACATTGATTACATTCATAGGGTTTCTCTCCAGTATGAATTTTTAAGTGAGTGAGAAGAAGACTATTATATGGAAAGGCTTTACCACATTGATTACATTCATAGGGTTTCTTTCCGGTATGAATTCTTTCATGACTGAGAAGATTACTCTTCTGTGCAAAGCATTTGCCACATTGATTACATTCATAGGGTTTCTCTCCAGTATGAATTTTTAAGTGAGTGAGAAGAAGACTATTATATGGAAAGGCTTTACCACATTGATTACATGCATAAGGTTTCTCTCCATTATGAATTCTTTCATGACTGAGAAGATAACTCTTTTGTGCAAAAGCTTTACCACATTCATGACATTCATAGGGTTTCTCTCCAGTATGAATTCTTTCATGACAGAGAAGATGATTGTTCCCTCTAAAGGATTTACCACACTGATTGCATTTATAGGGTTTCTCTCCAGTGTAACTTCTATTATGTATTATGGGACATGCAAAGGCTTTATCACATTGCTGAGATTCATACCTTTTCTCCCTAGTTTGAATTCTATGTACTTGATGAAGACTGTGACATGCAAAGCCTTTATATCTTTGATTATAATCACAGGGTTTTCCTTCCAAATGTGTTCTTTGGTGTTTTAACGACCAATCACATCTAAAGACTTTATCACATTGATTATATTCATATAGATTCTCTTCATTATTGGGTGTTTGGTGTGTTTGAAGACGCCTGTAATGGCTAAAGCCTTTGGTAGATGACTCACATTTATTATTTTCTCTTAACATATGAGTTTTTTCACATCCTTGAAGAGAACTTGAAGAACTCAGAGTTGGACCACACTGATTGTATTTATAACATTTTCTTATACTGAGAGCCACACTACATATACACAGTGAAACAGAAGAGAGAGATGAATTTCCATATTCCTGGTACTCATAAGGTTTTTTTCCAATGGAAGTTTGTTGATGAATTCCCACTGAAGTTGGAAAACCAGTTAATTGTAAACTTGTATCACAGTCATCATGTCTTCTCATAGTGGGGACTACCATATACCTTCCACTTGTTCTGAGAGAGACAGAACTACAATGCTTCTTTCCATATCCCTTATGCTCACATGGATTGTGTCCAGAGGGACAGATGACACACCTGCTAAAGGAAGATAACAAATAAAGGGTTTTCACATTGCATTCCCATAGTCAAATGTTTTGTTTGTCATACAGATGTGGAATAGAGATTCATGTTTCTACATCTCCAAGTCACTCATAAAGTGCTCCTCTCATTAAACTATGTTAAATCACTCACTACATGAAAATGAAGAACACTAGCTTTAATAAGGAAGCTTTACTTATAAAAGGTCTTGGACATACCCAATCTCCTCATCATTGTGTATACCTTATATGATAAATGGAAGGCATGACAGTAAGTGGATGGACAGTCCTCATACATGGCTAAGATTGAACCTGTCACATCTGTTGTGGCATGTTTCCTTGTCTTGTCCTTAAATGTGTTGGTGGAAATGTGTGAATGGTGTGGCCACACATGTGTGTTTCTGACAGGTTTTGAATGCCTGAGTTTATATGTCCTGAATGTGTCTTGCTAATTGGATGTTTTAAAACCTATAAGGCTTGTGACTCCAGATTGAAACTGTGCTGGAGAGCATCACGTGGTCTACCACTACTCTAATTACAGGCAGCAAGCCACCTGGGCAGGTGCAATTTTGGATAAGGTCAGAGAGAGAGGTGAACGACTTCCATCTTTAGGAATGACCGCCATCTTTAGGAAGTGTGACCAGGTAGCCAGCCGCCATTTTGATTGAGGTTAAAGATACTTCACTACCATCTCTAGTAAGGGTAACTACTTGGACTGGGTCCACCAAGGAGACATTACGTCTCCAACAGAATTGGGTTAGGATATATTTCTGTTTGATAATTCCTGTGGTTAGGATACATTTCTGTTTGATAATTCCTGTCCTGTTCCTGTCTGTTCTCTCTGTTCCTGTCTGCTCTAACACCCTGAACTACTACATAAATGTCTCCAGTCAGTTTGTTCTGTTTGGTCCCTCCTCCTTTCGTCCTTCCCACCAGAGCTATCTCCACCTTCACAGTCACCACCACCATCACCGCCACCTGTCCTGGCCTAAAAACAAGTTTTATGAAAACAGTTTTAAAACAATGCTGGTTTTGACAATTGATATTGAAACTAAATTGTTTGCAACTTTAAAACTTAGTTTTGTCCTGTATATCTTAGGATCATCGCTAAAAACTACAGACTAAATCTTCTTGCTCTTACTAACATTGGTAAACTGTAACTAATTAGGTAAACTGTATGACCAGACTTAACTTATATATGCCTTCAAATTTAACCTAAACAACATTTGTCTAATTTAGATGTACCTAACATTCTCAAACACCCTTAGAGATCTGAGAATATGGCATTTAATATAAAATCTTTTTATGACAGACATGCCAACAACTGGAAGCATCCTGTATCTTCTCCAAGAAGATGGAGGGCCACAGAAGAACTTCCACCTGGAGGCTTGCTTCAAATGTAACAAAGTCAGCCACACAGCAAAAAGCTGCTTTACACCTTTAACTGCTGCTGAGATCATGTCCAGATTGTGAATAAGCGGAGCAATGGGGGAACATTTGTGTCACTCTGCTAAGACAGGTAGGCCGATCTCCCAAATTTCTACTCCACAGAAAATCTGTCAGATCCTCTGGACTTGGCATCTAAACAAGTGCTACCTCTGGGACTTGTCCCCCAGTGACCACAGAGAGACTGGGGACTGCCTGGGTAAATGAAAAGCTCGCTCACTCCTGCTCATTTACTTATCCTTCTCAGATCTGATGGTGTTGATGACCAGGGTACTAAGAGATTTGCCAGTTTAACAGCACCCTCAATCCCAAGGCTACAAGCACCTTAGTAGTTCATTAGTAAGTTTCCTATAAAAAATACAGACAGGTATGCTTCATTCACAGACTCCATGGTACAGGATAAACTGGTTTCAGATATAACTTCAGAAGTTCAAAGTTTTAGCTTTGATAAATACAGTTTTGATAAACTGACAGAGCCCTGATTACTAACAGTCTTCAGGGGTCCTTGAATTTCGGTGGATTTTACTGGTCCAGCTTTTAGAGATAGGTTAGCATTAGAGAGGATATAGGACCCTGCAGGCATGTTCAACTCCCTCCTCCTTCACTCACTCAAACTCCACTGTCAGTGAATTTAGACTTAAAACTGTTCATGCCTTAACCCAAGGCCATAGATCTTTACCATGACACCAAGATATAAATCTGTTCCAGTAGTTTTAAATACACCTGAAGGTTCCTGGGAAAAGGGTTCTGATGCTTTGTAAAGAAGTCTGGCCTGATGGAAACTAATATTACTTTCCAGAGGCTAATTTGACCGCACCCACTTTTGAGCATATTCTGTAGGTTCACTCTTCCTGCCTGGGCCAAGGCCAAACCCTTAGGGGCCCTCCACATACACCAGCCCTGCAACAGCTCCAAAGATGCAAACCAATCAAGGGCACCAACTGGGGGAATAATAACAGGTTGATTTCATCCAACTGCCCACTCATAAAAAGATCCATATCTCTTAACTCTTATGACACATTCACAGGATGGATATTCTCCAAACCTCCAGGGAAACAGCAGATGCTATGGCTCCAGTACTCCTGGAATACATCATCCCTAGATTTGCCATGCCATCTCCCCAAGCTCCTATGACTTCACTGCTGATATCACCTCTCTAGGCACAAGTGGGCAACTAACCAGCAACTGAAACCTAGGTTTCCAAGATGTCCCAAATAAGGCCATATCTACCCTCATGCCTCGTTCATTCACCCTTTGTACAACCAGGACACTTCTCAGTTCCATTCTTTCTGGCAGTCTTCCTACTACCAATGGGTAGCCCCATTCAGAGGGACGGTGATAATAATCTATTTTTTTCTCCTAGCACCCTGCATTCTGTCTCCTTAAGAACAGATTCCTGTGCCTAGAGGTGGTGGCACACACCTTTAATCCCAGCACTCAGGGGGCAGAGGCAGGCAGACCTCAGTGAATTCAAGGCCAGCCTGGCTGCACAGTGAGTTCCCAGAAAGGTACCAAAGCTACACAGAGAAACCATGTCTGGAAAAGAAAAAAACAGGTTCCTGAGGTCTCCTGGATGGCAGCTATCCAAATGCTGCTCCACCCATAACCCCTACTGATCATGGGCCCACCCAAATCCTACCCACTCCCTCCCCACATCATTCCATGCCAGCAGGAAATAGAGACTTGAACCTGCACCCATATAGACCCAAAAAGTTTGGGAGTTTGGAATCTCTAGTTCAGGGAGCCATTCCACAAAGCCCACTACTAGCGGCTCCTCCACCTAGGGATGTCTGGGACGATGCCCATGCCTACTGGCTATATAAGACCTGGCCCATAGATCTGCCATGGGTACTCTCCTATTCTGTCTCATGCCTTCCTGAGAGACCCTGGAGTGCTTTGCTTTGCTATGCTCTGTTTATTAAATCTGGATTTATTAATTTGGTTTGATTTGACTTATTGCATCAGTGATGGAGGAAGCCAGCAACCGGGAATCTGATATTTATCACAGACATACATATATACAAGCTTGCACATGAAAATTACCTTTCAATTCTTCTACAGCACTGACAATGTTCTTCAATATTATGGTCTTCCCATTTGTAACCTAAAATACAGTACCAGAAAATGTATGTGATATATTACTGGAAATTAGGCACACTTGAAATTACTATCTTTCATGAAACTTACTACCATGCCTGATTTATTCACCAGATTCTCCCCCTTTCATATGTGAAATCACAGAAGAGCACCAATCCAAAGAAAAAAGCTTGTCCCCTTAAGCTAAAAAGTGACAGAAAGCTCACATTCTTACCTATAGAAGTGAGGTTCCAGTAGGTTTCCAGCATCACATCTTTGTAGAGACTCTTCTGGGAAGAATCCAGCAAAGCCCACTCTTCATGAGTGAAGTTCACATGCACATCCTCATAGGTCACTGCATCCTAAAATATCCCATATATATGTTCTTAATTGAAATGATGAGACTGAATTGCAAATGTACACTTCATTGAGAATATATTTATATAATTCTGTGTGCTCAAAAAATTCAATGACATTGGTCAGTAAATTTCAAATGCAGTCACCAACTCATTTTAAAAGGAAACATCAAAAGAGAATGACACCTTCCATTCCAGTGCCTAAAGAATAGAATACGGGGCCGGGCGGTGGTGGCGCACGCCTTTGATCCCAGCACTCAGGAGGCAGAGCCAGGCGGATCTCTGTGAGTTCGAGGCCAGCCTGGGCTACCAAGTAAGTTCCAGGAAAAGGCACAAAGCTACACAGAGAAACCCTGTCTCGAAAAACCAAAACAAAAAAAAAAAAAAAAAAAAAAAGAATAGAATACGGCACAGCAGGAGAAATGCCCAACTTCTAGTTTAAAAAAAAAAAAATCGAGCAGGGCAGTGGTGGCACACGCCTTTAATCCCAGCAATGGGGAGATGGGGAGGCAGAGCCAGGCAGATCTCTGTGAGTTCGAGGCCAGCCTGGTCTACAGAGTGAGATCCAGGACAGGTACCAAAACTACAGAGAGAAACCCTGTCTTGAAAAAACAAAAAACAAACAAACAAAAAAAAATTACAGACAAGGCATAAAGTACTAAGCCAATGCTGTTTAAATTTCCAGAGATATTAGTCACTCAATGTGTGTAAGATGTCTCTTCTCTTGAATGTCTAATTAAGTTTAAAGGAATGTTTAATTTTCACAGTAAGTGAATTCAAGAACAAATTTATGATTTTAAACTATATTATTGGGTATGCTCTTGTCTGTTACTGCGGATTTGGCTCTGCTCTTCAAGTTGCTCTCTGGAAATTCTTGGTTAAATTCTATAAAAAACAGTAACAGAACAGGTTACATCCTGAAACAGAGCAGGTTGTTAGCTTATTAGATAGTGTGGTTGTGAAGGCCTAGACTTAACTCTACATGCTCAGGAATATGCCATGATAACTCAAATGGAGATAGAGCACTATCCTCCTGAAGAAATCCTGAGAGCTATAACATAATTCAACCTATGGGATAATTACAGTCTGAAATTACTTTATCTATTCAAGTAATATGTAATTTGTTTCAAATTTTACAATGTGACTCAGATTTAAACAATCCAAGACAATTAACAGCTAAAGCTGAAAATAACAATGGCCCAAGTAAAACAAAAATTACTAAATGCCTTTCTGGATTAGTAGATCTCACAACTGAATGTATTTTAGTAATTTTACCTTCCACTCACTCCCCTAGTGGACTCATTATGCAAAGGGAAGATACTATTTTTAAACTGAATCTTCCTAGCTCACAAACAGAGTAAAATGTTAAAAATCTGTATAGAAAAGGTTTCTAAATTAATTATAAGGGAAGTAATAAGACTTCATAAGTGCTGAGAAATGAATCCAGCTGAGAGTGCTGTAACCTATTCTAATGCTGAAGTTATACAATTATGGATGACCAATGATGATTGACAAAGAGTTTGTAGTAATTTCTTAGGCAAAATTAACAACAAATGTCCAAAAAGTAAGTGACCTCAGTTATAAATAAACAAAAAAACCCTGAATAGATTCCTCTTTGCATAGTGAAAGAGCACTATTTCTGGGGCTTTTACACTTTATACTGACACACATAAATTAGGATTGGCAAGTTATAAAGCAGGAAAGATCAGTAAAAAATTCAAAGTCCATATGCTTCAGTTCAGAAATCAGAATTATATGCCATTCTGATGGTTTTATAAGACTTTATGAATCTCTTAATATACTTACTAATTCTCTATATGCAGAAAGGGTTGTATTGCATACAGAAACTGCTAATCTTATTGCTGATAATTCAGAACTGACTTTGCTATTCTTGCAACTACAACAGTCAATCCGAGTCAGATATTATCCACCATATATCACTCATATTCGGTCTCATACTGGGTTGCTAGACAATTAGAAAAGGAAATTTAAAACTTGATCAACTACTGATAGGAAATGTGTTGGAAGCTTCTGAATTTCATTTAAAAAAAAATGCTAATAGCCAAGGCTTAAAGACAATTTTTTTCCATTACCTAGCAACAAGATAAGGAAATTAATCTAAAAAACAAAACTGTCCTACATGTTCTTTCTATAATCAATTCCATTACCTGCAGGAACTAATCCTAAAGGTATACACACACAAATAATAATAATAATAATAATAATAATAATAATAATAATAATAAAAAGGACAAATGGATGTATTTCACTTAACAGAATTTACAAACTTCAAATTTATTCATCATACCATTGATACACACTCTAGATTTCAATGGACATCTATTTACCTTAAGTTCTGAAAAGGCTGATTCTATAATTACACATTTATTAGAAACAATGGCTGTAATGGACATATTAAACAAATTAAAACTGATAATGCCCAACTTATGTTTCCAGTAAAATAAAACAGTTTTTTTTCTGACACAACATAAAACACATTACAAGGTTACTACATAATCCTACAGGTCAAGCAATTGTTAAAAGATATAATCACACACTAAAGGAGATGCTTTTTAAACAGAAGGAGGATACGAGGACCCCCAGAGATAGACTGCATAATGCCTTTTAACTTTAAAATTTTTAAACTAATGACACAGAGACAACAGCAGCTGAAAGACGGGGGCTTTGGAGGTGGCAATGCTGAAGATGTTTCAACATCAAAATGAAAACCAGGGAAAGTGTTACAATGGGGTCAAACTTATGTTTTTACAGGAGACAAAAGGTTGTGGATCCAGTCAAAATTGAGTAAGTCCAGCATGAGCAAGACGAATTTCTCAGACACTTTGGCTGCTGAGATGAATGACATACCTCTGGGGGGAAAATAGACTAAAAAAGCCTTTGAAGGGGATGGCTGAGCCTCCCACCTGCGCACAGCTTAAGAATTTGTGTGACTGCGGGGTGGTGGTGGCCCACTCCTTTAATCCCAGCAACGGGAGGTAGAGGCAGCCAGATCTCTGTGAGTTCGAGTCCAGCCTGGGATACAGAGTGAGTTCCAGGACAGGCTCCAAAGCTACACAGAGAAACCATGTCTCTGAAAAAAAGGAAAAAAAAAAAAAAACCACAAAGAATTTGTGTGACAAAGAGAAGGCATTAGTTCCACTGGCTCAGAAACCTCAGGATGCTACAAACCTGTTCCTTGCTATGCTATCTGTGATAACTATACAGGTATCAGGGCCAACTATACATATTGGGCCTATGTTCCTAATCCTCCAAATAACTTAGCAGTAAGTTGGGAGATGTGCATATTCCTGTGATGGTTAATGAATCTTCTTGGCTACCTGGTCCTTATGACAAACAAGGTCCTGCTCAGTTTACAGAGGAGAATAAAGAAATTAGGAATTATACTGTGGGGGTGCAAGGAATTCCTATTTGTATAGGACATGGAAGTCAATGTGTAAATATAACCTTTCAAGTGTGGCTATCTATAGTAAATACTACCCAAGAATATCATAATATGTTTTATATTCTTCGTGCATCTGGTTTTAGAAGACAGGAGATTAACGCTACTAGTTCCACAAATCTACTATTCTGAGAGATGTAGGTTTCCAACAAGGAATCTGACTGGATACATTGGCAACCATGTAAAGGTGAGAAACCTCGGGTGCTAATTAGTATCTCCCATGCAGATGTCATAGATTGGAGCCTTTATGGCTCCCCTCAAGGAAAACATTCTCACTCATTATTAAGATGACACAAATATAGTTCAAATGCAACTGTAGAAATTAGCTCTACTGTTAATGAACCTATTCAATGGCATGGAGTTGGAGTGTCAAGTCCTCTCCTACAATTTGGCAATTCAGTTCAGACTAACTTGAAGAAATTAGCAAGTACCTTCCACCCTCTTAAAGCGTGGGCAGGAGGGTTAAACATTAAGGATGAAACTTTGTCATTTAGACTAAATCAAAGCCATCCTTTTATAGTATGTGTACCATTACCTATTCAGCTACTGAAGGGGCCTGTACAATGGCACCCTAATAATTACAGCATCACTTGTGAACACTGTACCCTCATACCTGTGTTAATTCTAGTATGTCTTTAGATGTAACCTCTGAAAGTTTATACATTCTTAGAGCAAGGCCAGCAGTCTGGATGCCAGTGAAGTCATCAAGGGCCCGGCAAGACTCACCTGTGATGACCATAGTGCAGAAAGCTCACTGAAAGAATATTAAGAAAAACACATTGAATGCTTAGACTGATTATTGCAGTAGTTATGGGCATTGTTGCATTGGCTGCTACTGATGCTACAGCAGCTGGATTGGCCCTTCATAAAGAAAGCCAAACTGCTGAGTTCATTAGAGACTGGCACAAGCATTCTACAGAACTTTGGACTCAATAAAATAAAACAGTGAAATAGTTAATGGAATAGCTGATGTGAGACAAACTGTTATACTGTTGGGGAATTGGCAGTAGCCATGTCAGAGGAGCAGCAGATGGCAACTGATTTCAGGGGATCGGCCCACCAGGATATAAAACTCTGATGGGTGAATCTCACATATGCAAGGCCCCGAGAGCCTCAGCCCCAGGATGTTTCTTTCCACTGCTGTGTCTTTGTATGGTTGCCACTGCCATTTTTCTCTGGAATCTGGCATGGTGTGCATGGGTGTGGGGGTCCCCAACGCCCTTAATGTAGTATGATCATTCTTGGAAATATTCTGTTGTACTGGGCATTTTTACCTGTGGATTATTATGAAGATGACTTCCTCCTAAGCTGTACTGTTTAACTGAAGCAATGATTTTATACAACAATAGTGTTAGTTTAAATGGGATTTTGATGACTGACGGTCTTTAATAAATATAGTAAGGGATTATGATGCAGGTTAGTTTAGTGGAAAAATTAACACAGGTAAAGATAGGATCAAATGCTGCCTCTGCCTCTGGGAAAGCAGAGGCTGTAGAGGATAAAAAAATGAAACAAGGAAGTGTCACACTGATAGAACACATGAGTTTCTATTAAGGAGCATACAGACTATGGCTTAGGTTAATGATTAAGAAAAAACAACTGAGTCAGGATCATCTCATTAGAAAGGGCCTTTGACAAAAATCCAACACCCCTTCATAATAAAAGTCCTGCAGAGATAAGGGATACAAAAACATACCTAAACAAAATAAAGGCAATTTCCAGCAAGCCTATAGCCATCATCAAATTAAATGGTGAGAAACTCAAAGTTATTCACCTAAAATCAGGAACAAGACAATGCTGTCTGCTCTCACCATGTCTATTCAATATAGATCTGGAATTCATAGCTAAAGCAATAAGACAACTAAAGGAGATCTAGGGGATACAAATTGGAAAGAAAGAAGTCAAAGAATATTTATTTGTAGATGATGTGATAGTGTATGTAAGTGGCCCAAAATATTCCACAGAGGAACTCCTATGGCTGATAAACACTTTCAGCAAAGTAGCTGGATATACAATTATCTCACAAAAATAAACAGCTCTCCATTGTACAAATGACAAAGGAACTAAGAAAGAAAACGGGAAGGACACATTTCAAAACTGCCTCGAATTATATAAAATATCTTGGGGTAACTGAAACAAAGCAAGTGAAAGGCTTGTATCATAAAACTTCAAGCCTTTGAAGAAAGAACCTGAAGAAGATATGAAAAGATGGAAAGATCGCCCACACTCATAGATCGATAGGATTAACATAGTAAAAATGGCAATCCTACCAAAAGCAATCTGCTTGCTCAATGCAATCCCCATCAAAATCCCAACACAATCTTTACAGACCTCAAAAGGACAATCCTCAACTTCAGATAGAAAAAAAAAACACCCAACATAGCTCAAGCAATTCTGAACAATAAAAGAACTGCTGGAGGTTTCACCATTCTACACTGCTGTACTACAGAGGTATAGTGATAAAAACCACATGGGACTGGCATAAAAACCGACGCATCCATCAGAGAAATAAAAATGAAGACCCAGGCATGAATCTACACACCTATGGACACCTGGGTTTTGATAAAGAAGCCAGAAATACACACTGGAAAACAGCATGTTCAACAAATGGTGCTGGTCAAACTGGATGTCTGCATGTAGAAGAATGCAAATAGGGCTGGAGAGATGGCTCAGAGGTTAAGAACACTGGCTATTCTTCCAGAGGTCTTGAGTTCAATTCCCAGCACCCATATGGTGGCTCACAACCATCTGTAATAAGATCTGGAACCCTCTTTTGGACTGCAGGGATACATGCAAACAGAACATTGTATACATTATAAATAAATAAATCTTAAAAAGAAGAAGAAGGAGGAGGAAGAGGAGGAGGAGGAGGATGCAAATAGATCTATACTCATCATCCTGCACAGAACTCGGGTCCATACTCATCATCCTGCACAGAACTCGGGTCCACATTTATAGGAGACTGTATGGGAGTTGAGGATTTAGCTCAGTGGTTAAGCGCTTGCCTAGCAAGCTCAAGGCCATGGGTTCGATCCTCAGCTCAAAAAAAAGAGAGACATATGACCATGCCCTGTGTGAAATGTTAGCTGCTGAGTGCTGTATGCTCATACACAAGCCACAGCCAAATGCCCAGTGTCTTAATCCTCTCACCTGATTGAAGTGAGACAAACAGATTTACAGTTACCACCATGAGAGGATTGTCCAATCAGAAATTTGAGTGGCTCAGGCTAACCTCCCCAAACTGTACACCCACCAATTTGGTTTTCCTTCATTCACATGGTATGAATTAATGCATACTGGGAAAGTACACAGAAAGGCACTCACCTGCCCAATCATGTCCTTTTTCATAACAGAGACACCTGCAGCTCACTGACTTAAACAATATCCAATCCAGCTATGGCCTAGTCTGTTTCCCCCTGTGGTATACACAATAAACTACTCCTTCTATTCTGGTCTCAATGGAGAAGCCATACTCCACACACAAATCCTATTCCTGTTAGTGCAATGGACACCCATGACTCCAATGGGTAGTTTTAGAAGTGTGTGCTACTTGCAGGGTGGTGGTGGCACATGCCTTTAATCTCAGCACTCAAGAGGCACAGGCAGGTGAATCTCTGTGAGTTCGAGGCCAGCCTGGTCTACACTGTGAGTTCCAGAACAGCCCAGGCTACATAGAGAAACTCTGTCTAAGGGGAAAAAAAAAAGAAAACAAAGTGTGTGCTGCTGCAAACCTTTAATGAAGAATTGAGGGGCTGGTGAAGTGGCTCAGAGGTTAAGAGCAGTGGCTGTTCTTCCAGAGGTCCTGAGTTCAATTCCCAGCAACCACATGGTGGCTCACAACCATCGATAATGAGATCTGGTGCCCTCTTCTGGCCTGCAGGCAACATGCAGGAGGAATATTGTTTACATAATAAATAAATCTTAAAAAAAAAAAAAAAAAAAGAAGAATTGAGGAGGCTGAGTCCCAAGGACAGCAGCGTCATTGCCCTGTGGGCCTAAACACTGGGACCAAGGCAAAGAGAGTCAACATAACAAACCTTATCTTAAAATATTGTTCTGAAAGCTGGAAGGTGTAACTGTTTTGGAATTAATGTGCCTTCCCAATGAGAAACCATACCACACCCTTAGAGATTAATTGAGAAAACTCTCCTTAGGAATAGAAAGTCTCCAGCTCTACCTAACACACAAAGAGCAGCTGGCCAAAAACAGATTTGCCAACTTGTATATACAATAGGCTTATGCACTCCACATATGCTCTCAACCTGGAGAAATGCTGATTACTGCCCTCCTGCTAACATGGCTTGCTCAGTTTGATTCCTTATAGAACTCAGGACCACCTGCCCAGGGTGGCACCAACCACAGTGGGATGGGCCCTATTACATCAACCACTAATCAAGAAAATACCCTATAGGTTTACCTACAGACCAGTGTGACTCTACCTTGTGTCAAGCTGACCAAAGCTAACCAGCATACATACTGAGTCATCTCACAGCCCCCAAAGACAGATTGTTAAGCAAACCTCAACTCTCTTAACACTGGCTTTTCAGCATATACTTGTGCATGCACACACATAAAGTTTTGAAAATCTGTCAAGTTTAGGGCTGGAGAGATGGCTCAGCAGTTACCACCACTTACTGCTCTTGTAGAAGTCCTGGGTTTGGTCCCAGCACTAACCTGGTGGCACACAATCATCACTAAATCCTCTTGCAGAGGATCTGATGCCCCTACTACCTTCTGTGGGCACCAAACACACACACGATGAACATACATTTATGCAAGCAGAACAGTCACACACATAGGATAAAATAAATAAACAGCGCTAATTAAAAACACACACCCTTGCCAGGAATAGTGGCACACACCATTAATCCCAGAGGCAGAGGCAGGTGGATCTCTGGGTTCGAGAACAGCCTGGTCTACACAATGTTCTAAGACAACCAAGGTTACACAGAGAAACCCCATCTAAAAAATTAAATAAACAAATAAAACCATATCCACATATCACTTTTGTGTCACCATGGATAAAACAGCCAGAAATACATTGAAATGTGACTAATATCTGTAGGCAAAGCTATAAATTTGTAATAAAAAGAATCAACGAACTAAATAAAAGGAGAGAAATTCCAGGATTGCGGACAGGAAGCCTCAATATTATTTCAGCACAAAATTGAGCTACAGATTCAGCAACAATACAGTAAAAACTCCAACAATTTTTCATACCAACAACAGAAAATTAATGACAAAGGTCATCATGAATGAAAAAATTATCGACATAAGATTAGGTAAATAAACGGCACACACTCTAACACCATCTGAATTTAAAACTTCTCATACAGCTGCAATGAAGACTGTACTGTCTGGGAAAGAATTAAGAGATCATCAGAACAGGGGAGCAAACTTAGAAATGAAAACACAATTAATATGGAGTTAATTGTGACACAGGAGGCCAGGAAACCCAGAAAGAATGGCCTTACTGACACACGTGACTGGCCCACCCTGGCATCTACATGCAAATGTGTTAATGACATAGAATTCACACCCTGCACAGAATTAACTGCAAACAGATCTACCTACACCTGAATGTTCAGTGACAAGTGCAGAACTTCTAGAAGACACTAGAGACACCAGGGCTCTGTGAATTAGCAAATCTGCCTTCGGTGGAGACAGTAAAAACAGCGCATACACGCGCCCTGCACCATAACGTTGACAACAAGGATGTTTCCACACAAGGTTTCCCGCCTCCCATGCTCTGCGCCTGCGCACCCGAGGGTGCCACGTAATTACTTGGTCGGCCGGTTCCCGCCCAGCTCCCGGAAGTGGCATGGCCCTTATGTGACCTCACTGTGTTGGGCGGCTGTTTCCCACAGCCCTAGGAGGACCCCACACCTGTTCCCAAGGCTCCTCCCCGCATGGGGACGGCGGCCCCTCAATCACCATGGCGGATTCCCAGCTCGCCGGGCTCTCCTCAAAGCTCCCGGCAGCGGGTCACAGCGCAGCACACAGAACACCAGGGTCTCCCTTCCCTCAGTCGGAGCTGCGGGAGCCTTCGCCAAGGGGGAACGGAAGTACCCGCCCACATTCTGACTGGGTCCATCTGGAGGCCATGATTGGCTAGTGATGCCTGAGTGACAGGGACAGCTCCCTTAGAGACAGTGCAGTGAAAAGCTGCAGCTCGCCCATTGTGGTGGCGCTCGCCAGTAGGATTTGCTGAAGGAGGCGGAAGCAGTAGGATCACGTGTTCGTGGCCAGCCTGGGCTACACATTTTAGCACTGACGGCTCTTCCAGAGGTTCTGAGTTCAATTCCCAGCAACCACTTTGATGGCTCACAAGTATCTATAATGAGATCTGGTGCCCTCTTCTGGCGAGCAGGCATACATGGAGGCAGAATGTTGTATAAATAATAAATAAATAAATCTCTTAAAAAAAAAATACCCTGTAGTCGAGATCCTCAGCAGCTGTTGGGGAGGAACCGCTGCTTGGCGAGCTTAAAAAAAAAAAACATGCACTTCTGTAGTTCCCAACTGTCACAGACCAGACCTGCCGAGATTGGCATTGAAGCAGAAACTTGCACCTGGACTGCAGAGTGGTCCCTGAACTTGTCCCTCACTGAGTAGACAATTTTCCATCTGCCCACCGGGTCTCTCTAGCATATGAAGATCATTAAACCATGTGCAGTGGAGTGATCCCTCTCCCTCATAGCTGAAATGGTACCCAGTCCACCCAGTTCAAATATAAACCACCTGATTGACATCCACCAGGCACCAGCAATTTCAATAAGGAACACCCACGACTGCTCACACCTCTCTCAGCTGCACCTTGCCATCCAAACACTAACACTTTCCCAGCTTTCTATGGTGGCACTGGCCTATCATGCCAGCACTTGGGAAGGTGGAGACAGGAAGGACATCAAAAGGTTAAACCAGCTTGTGACCTGAAACACCAGCAATTAGGGGCCCAAAGGGGAGGTGTACAGGGTAACGACCTGGAATGAGCAGATAGAAAGTTATGAAGCAGTACATATTGCATAAAATAATGGCTCATGCTAAGCAAGTTTAATAAGTACAGCTCTTACACACCATTTGAGAGGGGGCAGGGCAAGAAGAACACAGGCGACCTCAGGCTGAGCACCTGGTGACCTAGGGACTGAGAGCCACACCCCCTCAGGCTAAAGAGTCTTGAACCCTTGATTCCTTCAACACAGTGGCTCAAATATCAGAACAGACTTCGCCATGTCTGTCCTTAGCCTAACACACAGAACTAGTGTCCCTTGGATGATTTCATCAGGGCCTCAGAAAAAAGCCTTGGATGGACTGACTCCCAAAGGGCCCACCTCCAACCTCAACAAACAAAAATACATATGAAAATGGAAACTTGCTTTTGTGGAGGAGTTTTAACCTGTGTCCTGCCTGCAGGCCTTCCACTGAAGTTTCATGCAAGCCACACTAACACTTGAATGGCAAGTTCTGCTGCAAGCCACAGGAAAATGTAATGGAATTCAGCTACTATCACTAAAGCTACTACTTGGAAAAGTTAAGGACTTTGCCAAAGGTCAAGCCATGGCTTAATATTAGCCGGTTCCTAAAATGATTTTCTTGTGGGCTTCCAAAGAACTCCTAACACCGTATTTGTCTAAAAAGCCTATCAAGCATCTAAGGCTGAATGAAACTACACCTGTCTTTTAGGTCAGGCAGATAGCTTTATTTCTAGTACAATTTAGGGTGAGACCCTCCTTTCTTATACAACCTTACCAATAGACCCCTTAACTTCTTACCTAAGCACTTCTAGGAATGTGAACTGAGAACGTAGATCCCCTTTTTGATATACTAACTGGTCATTAGCACTCAGTTGACCTCATCTTTTTTTTTTTAATTAAATTATTATGTATACAGTTTTCTGTCTGCATGCATCCCTGCAGGCCAGAAGAGGGAGCCGGATCTCATTACAGATGGTTGTGAGCCACCATGTGGGTGCTGGGAATTGAACTCAGGACCTCTGAAAGAACAGCCAGTGTTCTTAACCTCTGAGCCATCTCTCCAGCCCCTGACCTCCTCTTTTACCACTCCCATTTTGGGTTGTAAAAGAAAGCCTGGTGGTCACTTTTGAGAAAATTCTTACCTGCCTTTATGACCCCGTAGAATTCAAGCCTGGTGACCTTGCTCGACAGGGGATTGCTGTGACTTGGGTTTATAACTGGATTCCTGGGAGACTTAAGGGGGACGTGGAGAACTGAGAGACAGAGAACAGAGAGGGATAAGGAGGGTTTTGACCAGAGAGAACATGCGGATGAGATGGACGATGAGAAAGAGTCAGATCGGGAAGTGCTAGCTGGGTAAGAACGAGGTTAAAAGAACCTAGATGAGGCAGAAATAAGATGAGAGAATTAAGATAGAACTTAGAGGGAGCAATAGATGAATATAGAGAGAAATCTGGCAAGAAAGGAGCTAAAAGAGAATAGAAGCTTGTAGAGAGAGAATTGACACAGAATAATAAAGTGTATGGACTAAGGAGTTTCATGTACATAGATTCATTTCTTTTTATCAAAGATTAATTATCAGCTGGTTGGAGATTCCTCCCCTTCCCAGCTGGGAGGGGACTATCAAGGGGATGGACCCACATAGTCCTCAATTGTTGGAGACTGACTCAGGACTGTTTGACCCAGGACTGTTATGTCTTGAGTTTTCTGCTTTGTGGAGTCTTGCAAAAACAGGGCGTCCTTGGCCTAACTGCAAAATATACGTTTAGATAAACCACTTGGCATAAACTGTAATCAGCCAGCTGCAAAAGCCTGGGACCAAAGAAACACCCACCCTGACCACCCTGACTTCTTCTCAAAAATTTTCCACTCTCCTTTCCCTGCTTCCCCCTCCCTGCCTGAAATCCTGCTTGTAAGCTGCAACATACTGCCAATAAACGAGACCTTGACACGACTCAAACTGACTCTGTCTTTCCTTATGTGCCTGGTCTCCTTCTTCTCTCGCCCCCATTGGCTTTCAGGTGGTTCCCTCCTCAAGACCCTCGAATAACGTGACCTGCTGGACGGGTCACTCAATAATGTTCAATCTGGCATATGATAGGATTTATGGATCACATAATCTAGTTTCCCAAGACTACTCATTTGTACCTGAACTTGGAAAATAACAGGTGGAGTCACATGCTAATGCTGATTATAGAATGGCTGCATGTTGGGAGCACAGAGGTGTCGCAGGCTTTCTTTTGAGCCAACAACCAGCTCCACATCATGACACAGAGACTTATTAGTTATGAACGCTCGGCCTTATTTTATGCTTGTCCCACTCGCTCTTGTGACTTAACTTAAGCTGTCAGAGCTTTTTATCTTTCATTCTGTATGCCCTATTTTCACTCTTCCTCGGTGGCTGGCAGGCTGGTGGCTGGCTGACTGGCCCTGGGCGTCTCCTTCTCTTTCTCCCTCCTTGCTTCTCGCTCTTCTCTCATTCTCTCAGCTCTGCCTGTGTCCCGGACCATCTGACCTCAGGGATGAGGATGTGCAGTGCATTCTCAGCCAGATCCTGCAGATGCAGCAGATGCAGGCTCAGGGCCTCTGAGGACACAGCTCAGCCATCAAGTCGCATCCTTCACTTCTGCAGATCAAAGCCTCAGGGACAACCTTCCCAGACCCCAGGGTATGTACAGGACTCACCATGCACTGGGGGCCCAGCCTGGGACCTTGCTGGGACCTTGCTGTCTTAGTTAGGATTTCTTTTTTTTTTTTTTTTTTTAAGATTTATTTATCAATTATGTATACAATGTTCTGCCTGCGTGTATGACTGCAGGCCAGAAGAGGGCACCAGATCTCATTACAGATGGTTGTGAGCCACCATGTGGTTGCTGGGAATTGAACTCAGGACCTCTGGAAGAACAGCCAGTGCTCTTAAGCGCTGAGCCATCTCTCCAGGCCCCTAGTTAGGATATCTATTGCTGCAACAAAACACTATGACCAAAAAGCAGTTTGGGGAGAAAAGGGTTTATTTGCTTTATACTTCCAGATCATACTCCATTGTTGGAGGAGTCAGAAGAGGAACTCCCACAGGGCAGGATCCTGGAGGCAGGAGGTGATTCAGAGGCCATGGAGGGTGCTGCTTACTGGCTTGCTCAGACTGCTTTCTTATAAAATCCAGGGCCAGCAGCCCAGGGATGACACCACCCACAGTAGACTGGGCCTTCCCCCATTGATCACTAATTGAGAAAATGCCTTATGGCTGGGTCTCATGGAGGCATTTCCTCACCATTTCCTCACTGAGGCACCTTCCTCTCTGATGACTTTAGCTTCTGCCAAGTTGACATACAAAGCCAGCCAGTACAACTGACTCCTTGTCAACCTGACACTTAAATACATCACTTTTAAAGCCACAATACCTTTCTTTTAAAAAAAAAATTCATTTATTTATTATGTATACAGCATATGTGACTGCAGGCCAGAAGAGGGCACCAGATCTCATTACAGATGGTTGTGACCCACCATGTGGTTGCTGGGAATTGAACTCAGGACCTCTGGAAGAGCAGTCAGTGCTCTTAAGCTCTGAGCCATCTCTCCAGCCCCCACTACCATTTTGGCTGCTTCTGGAACACAGCTTCTCTGTGCTCTCAGGAAACACTTCCCAGAAGATTTTCCCTCAGTGATTCAGCTCTCTTCTTAGTCACCGATAATTTCTTAGCTCGAGCTGACCAGCATCAAGTATCCCAGCAAAGCAAAGTTTCACTTTAGTAGTTCTGGTCCCTTGTTAGTCACAGCTGATTCTTCAACCCTAGCTAACCAGAACCACGGGATCTTAATTCAAAATAACAAATGGCCCTGATAGAGTCTTTGTACTTCCCTCTGAAATGTCACAAGCCAGGCCCCAAAACTCTGTACTGCTCTCAACATTCTTGTCTCCCAAGCTCCCACAGAACATCCCACTGTGCTCTTAGTTCCAAAGTCTTGACACAACCCCGCCCCCCCCAAAAAAAACACTGGCAGGTTTGTCACAGCAATACCCCACAATCCTGGTCCTAACTCATCCTAGTTAGGGTTCCTATTGCTGCAACAAAACACCATGACCAAAAAGCAATTTGGGGAGAAAAGGGTTAAATTGGCTTACACTTCCAGATCATACTCTACCACTACAGGAAGTCAGAACAGGAACTCCCACAGGGCAGGACCCAGGAAGCAAGTGCTGATGCAGAGGTCATGGAGGGTGCTGCTTACTGGCTTGCTCCCCATGGCTTGCTCAGTCTGTTTTCTTATAGACCCCAAACACACTGCCCAAGGAAAGCAACACCCACAGTGGACTGGACCCTCCCTAACTGATCACTAATTGAGAGAATGCCTTACAGCCAGATCTCATGGAAGCATTTCCTCAGCTCAGGCTCCTTCCTCTCTGATGACTCTAGCTTGTGTCAAATTGACATGAAACCAGCTGGTACACTTACCGATGGTGCCCAGCTGACCCCAGCACACATTGCCCCCTACACTCTGGGACTCTGATTCCCATCACTCTGCAACACCTGACATGTTACAGCTTCTGATATGCCGCTGACATCACTACCATCCACCCAGGAGTATAAGAGGAATCATAACCAGTGTGGACCACTGGGTGAGGGCAGTGATGGGGCAGGTAGGCTCAGAAGATAATTTGAGCTTCTATACCCAAAACTCAGTTATGGCAATAAACATGAGTTCAATACAATATTTAAAGAACCCAGGGAGCTGGGGGTGCTGGCGCGTGCCTTTAATTCCAGCACCCAGAGAGGGGGGTGGGGACAGAGGCAGACAGATCTCTGTGATTTCGAAGCCAGCATGGTCTACAGAGTGAGTTTCAGGACAGCCAGTGCTACACAGAGAAACCCTGTCTCAAAAAACCAAAAAGAAAACGGAAAAAAAATGAAAGAAAGAAAGAAACCACGGAATTGTGGCTCACGATTAAAGTCCCTTCACAGAAAACCCCATTATGGGGGTGGAAGCTAGCATGGTGTACTTGAGGCCCTGGGCTCTGATCCTACCAATGTTTAAAAGAAAAAAGTGAATAAATAAGCCCAGGCTGGATTCTCTTGTTCTTCATCATTTCAATACTTAGTTACTTAGTTCATCTTGGCGGTTTTTGTTTTGTTTTATTTTGTTGTTGTTGGTGGTGGTGGTTTGTTTTGTGTGTGTGTGTGTGTGTGTGTGTGTGTGTGTGTGTGTGTGTGTGTGTATGTGTGTGTAAATTAAATTCAGGGCCCTATGCCCTAATCTTTTTTTCTTTTGAGATGAAGGTCTCCCTGTGTCTCTCAGGCTGGAGTTAAAGTCACAGATATCCCTGTCTCAGCTTCCCACGTGCTGGGATGATAGGTTGCAGGATCATGCCTGACTTTCCATTTTCTTCTTTCCTGGCAGGGCCCCTGCCCCTGTCTCTCCCCATTTCTGGGCAAATCCCCCAAATCCCCAGGAGGCTCTGGGCTCTCTTGGTGCTGAAGAGAAGGGTGTGGCCTGGAGTTTCCCAGGACTCCAGTCTGTCCCGGGGGTTCCCTTGGGTGTTCTGAGCAGGTGTCCTGCACAGTTCAGAGTGTCCCTGAGGCTGGGGACTACCTGGGGTGGCAGTTGCTCTCTGTCTAGGCCCTGACACAGTTTTGGAGAGATGTCGGTGGTAACAGGGCCACCACCCTGCACTAGATCAGTCTCTGGGCCAGTGTCCCCTGTCTCTTTCTGTCCCTCTTTCTCTGTCTCTCTCTTTCTTGCTCCCCTCCTCTCCCACATCTGTCCTCTGCCTCACCCACCTCCCTGGGGCTTCCCCATCAGCCGGAAGTAAGGCCACCCAGTAACTTCTCCCTTTTAGGGCCCTCCCCCTACCCCCACCTCAATGCCTTTCACACTCACACACCAGGCAGCTGGTGACAGAGCCAGGACTCCGATCACCATCGCAGCTGTTGCCACGCACTGGACCACGGAGCCACACTGGGCAGGTCCTCACTCAAGGCCAGGCTCCCTTTAAGTTTCCTAGTCCTTTGCCCCTTCTCTGGCAAGTCCCTCAATCCTAGAGAACAGAGCACAGGCATGTCCCAGCTGCTCCTCCTGTCACTCACCCTCTGGGCGAGCTGCTCCCCTGGCAATGCAAGGAGAGGTAGGTGGGCACTCTGGGGATGGGGCACCTGGGCCATGGGGACCAACCCTTTACTTTCAGTCTCAGGTCACATCTGGAGTTGGGTGGGATCTCACACCTACCTATACCAGTGGGACCTGTTCCCATTCTGCTATAGGGATGGGGAAACTGAGACACAGAGGGGCAAAGCCTCATTTATCCAGGCAGAGGTACCTTTGAGCTTAGAGGTTTGTGGAGATAGACAGTTGACTCTCAGCAATGCCCAAGTTTCACCTTTGTGACTCAACTGTGGATCAGAAATGCTAGGCGATGCTGGGTATGATCGTGCACATCTGTCAGGCAGCCCTCAGGAGGTTAAGTTAGGAAGCTTAGGAGTTCAAGGTCATCTGCAGTTACATAGTGAGTTGAAAGTCAGCCTAGGCTACAGGAGATCCTCCTTAAAAACATTTTAAAAAAGAAAAAGAAAGAGGAAGAAAAAAAAACTTTTCTTATCTAGAAAATGGATCATTTGAGGCCCTGGGGGGTCGTAGTAGGTGTGGGAGCTCATGCTTCCATGCATGACAGAGACCTGCTAGGCTCCTGGAAGCTCATGCTCCTGTTTCTCCCACCCTAGCTGCTCTGAGCCAGCCCAGGGTGCGATGCCTTGCCTCTCGGTACCCCGTGGCTGTGGACTGCTCCTGGACGCCGCTGGGGGCTCCCAACTCCACGATGGCCACGTCCTTCATCGCCACTTACAGGTCAGAGAATGGAGAGGGGCCAGGATGAAGTGGGGAACCAAGAGATTCCATTGTCCCGCTCCACTCAGGGTCAGAGGCAGCCTGAGACCCACAGGGGCCTATCTCCAAAATAACAGAACGAGTGTGGGCTGTCGGTAATCTAGGGAGTTCTTCAGAATCCACACCCCCGGTGTCCCCTGAGTGTGTCCAGGTCCCACGGTCAGCTGTGGGTGGGCTGGGCCCGCGTGGACACCCAGTGCCCTTCGTGACCCCCACGGTGCTTCCCATGCAGGCTAGGCGTGGCCGCCCACCAGCAGAGCCGGTCCTGCCTACAGCTGAACCCCCAGGCCACTCGGTGCACCATCCCCCACGTGCAACTGTTCTCCATGGTACCCTACGTGTTAAATGTCACAGCAGTGCACCCCAGCGGCGCCAGCAGCAGCCTCCTGGCCTTTGTGGCTGAACAGATCAGTGAGTGTCTGTCCTTCCTGCTCCTAGCAGTCCCCACCCTCCACCATGTGAGACCCTCAGTCCTGCCAGTCCCCACAGCCTTCCTCCTCAGGCTCTCTTCCAGCCTCACTTGCCTCCTGTTACTTCCCCACACCCCAGGCTCCAGCCTGCACCAGGTGTTTGCATGGCTTTGTTTTTTGCCCTTCTTAGGTCTCTGATGGCCAGTCAGCTCCTCAATGAAGTCCCCCTCACCCCAAAAAAGTTTATTATTAAACATGAGTGACAATCATGGTTAAGAGAGGACTAACATTCGGGTGGCATACAGGGCTTTAATCCCAAAGGTAGGCAGATCTCTCAGAGTTTAAGGCCATCCTGGTCTACAGAACGAGTTTGAGGTAAGTCAGGGTAAAGAACCCAAGACCCTGTCACTAAGGAGAGAGAGAGAAAGAGAGAGAGAGACCAGTGAAGTTCAGTGAAAGACTACACCGCCCTCAAAGGGTTAAACATGGACTCTCCACATGATCTCCACTCCCAGGTATCTGCTCAACAGAAATAAAAATGTTCATCCCTACAAATCCTTGGCAACCTTATTCACAGCATGCAGAAGGGGGCAGCCCATGCCACGGGTCTTCCTGTGGATGGATGGACACACAATGTCCATCTGTCTACACTGGGGACATCACTCAGCCCTGAAGAAGTGAGGAGGGACCTTGAGGACACAGTGCTCAGTGAGCAACCCAGACACAAACCACACAGCGTGGTCTCCAGGACAGGGGGATCCAGAGACACAAGGAGATCTGTGGGTGCTGACGGCCAGCGAGGGGTAGGGAGATGGCTTATGGTGTAGACCTTGTGTTGGCATGAAGCGTGTTCTAGAGGAGACAGAGAAATGTAACACTCTCTGAGGATGCACCGATGTCCTCCAGCACAGTCTTGTGCTATCAGAATGGTGTCTCAGAAAAGCCCTTCAGCCCATTAGGGACTTTCTCTCTGAAATTTTCTCTTTGTCATGACTTTGGTCAGCAGTGAGGATGGCAATTTAACAAATGCTTGCTCCTTGAGCAGATGGGTGGATGAATGAATGCATGACTGACATGAGTGCATAATGAATGCATGAATGATTTAATGAATGAGTGAATGAATGAATGCATGAATGATACAGTGAATGAGTGAAGGACCTAATGAGTGAGGAAATGAATACCTGAATGACTTAATGGTGCAATAAAAGCATGAATGAATGAGTGTACAAATGGATAAGTGAAGAAACTAATGGATTCAGTGAATGAATCCATTACAATGAACGAGTTAATGAATCAGTGAATAGATCTGCATGTGAATCAAACAATACATAAATGTGTGAGTGAGCTGGTGACTAAGTTAAGGAATTAGTGAAGAGTTGAATGAAGAAGTGAAGAATGAACTGATGGTATGAATGGATGAGTAAATAAACAGAGCAAATGCATGAATGGTGTCTGATATGAATGAATGAAGACGGGAATCAGTGCCTGATGGATGAACCAGCTGAGCCGCTCCTGATCAGGCTCCCTGCTCCCCACAGTCAAGCCTGATCCCCCGGAAGGCGTGCGCCTGCGCGCAGCGGGGCAGCGGCTGCAGATGATCTGGCATCCCCCTGCCTCCTGGCCTTTCCCGGACATCTTCTCTCTCAAGTACCGCGTCCGCTACCGGCGCCAGGGAGCCTCTCACTTCCGCCAGGTGAGAGGGGGCTAGAAGAGGGTGAGACAGGATTCCCCTGGGCATCCTCTGGTTTCCACCTCTGGCCTCTCTGTGGGAGCACTGATATCACGTGACTCTGCAGCTGCCTTGCATGAGTGCTGGGGTTTCGAATTCACAGCAGGCACTTTACCCAGCAAACGGGCTACCTAGTTCCCAGAGCATGGTGGTCCTACCCACCACCACCTCCTCTCTCCCTGCAGGTGGGACCCATTGAAGCCACGACCTTCACCCTGAGGGCTGCGCAGCCCCATGCCAAGTACTTGGTCCAGGTGTCAGCCCAGGACCTCATGGACTATGGGAAACCAAGTGACTGGAGCCTCCCCGGGCAAGCGGAGAGGGCTCCCCTTAATCCCTGAAGAGGAACTGGATCCTTGATAGCAGACCCTGATGTCATCTACTTCAAAGTGACTGGTTGGCCTGGCCTGGGTTCAAGTCCTGACTGCACTTGCTGGGATGGTTGGCAGCTTTGAACAACTGACTTGACCTCTCTGGACCTCAATTTCCAAACCTGTGGGGATGGTATTTTTCCTTCTATAAGTGCCGGGCTTTGTGAACTGCAAATGTGATCTGATTAGAAATTTTAATTAAATAAGAATTATTAGCTGGTTAGTGGGGGTACACACTTTTAATCCAAGTACTGGGGAGGCAGAGGCAGGTGGATCTCTATGAATTCGAGGCCAGTCTGGCCTACAGAGTGAGTTCCAGGTCAGCCAAGGGTACACAGAGAAACCCTGTCTCAAAACAAAACTATTATCATTATTGTGGGGGAGTGGTGTTCCAGACAGGACTTCTTTGTGTGTGCCTGGCTGTCCTAGACCAGGCTAGCCTCGAACTCACAGACATCCTCTCCTGTTTCTGCCTCCGAGGGCTGGGATTAAAGACGTTTGCCACCATCGCGAGACAGGAATTATTATTAAAATTTTCTTTTTTGAAATTTAAATATTTTATTATCAAATATGTGCATGCGGTGGTATTACAGTGTCCATAAATCTTGTACTTCAAGATTTATTTTGTTTTACAGGTATGTGTATGTATTGGTCTGTATGTAGAAGCACACGGGTGCAGGCACCCAGTGGAGGCCAGACAGGGTGTCAGATCTCCTGGAGCTGGAGTTACAGGTGATTGATTGTGAACCACATCATGAAACCCATCAAGTACAGCGGCCAGAAGAGGGCGACAGAGCCCTGAGCTGGAGTTACAGGAGCACGGTGTTGCGGCTGGGTAGGCAGCCCTTGTGCTCTTGAGCATTGAGCCACCTCTCCAGCCATTTGTCCATCTTGTCCGCTGAGTAATCAACGTGGTGGGTTGTCTGTGTTGGAGTGCCCACGACCCCCAAACAAGACATTTATGATGAAAAGAAGTTGACGTGGCTCAAGGTTCAGGAGCCTGGGAAGGAATTCCACGTGGTACAATGCCTAAAGGTGGAAGGATCAGGGAGCACGTGGTGGGAGAAAACAGGGAGGAGAGTTATCATTAGGTGAATGCGGGGACACACACACACAACTGCTTCCCCCAACTGAGGGCCAAACAGGATGCAGACCAGCCTTGTCGAAATGAGGAGAGAGGAAAAGAATGGTGGGAAGGTAAAGACCAGCCTGGAGACCCTGTCTCAAAAAGAATAAGAAAAGGAGGATGAAAAGTAGAGTTGTGGGCGTGGCTCAAGGGGGAGCCCTGCCTAGGATCCCCAGGTGAAAGGCTGGGAGCGGGGCTCAATGACAGCAACTTGCCATAGTTTGTATGCACAATAATAAACAAGCAAATGTAAAAACCATCTAAGCCTGGCGGTGGTGGCACACGCCTTTAATCCCAGCACTCGGGAGGCAGAGGCAGGTGGATTACTGAGATTTCAAGAACAGTCTCAAGTACATGGTGAGTTTCTGTCTAACAAAAGAGAAAAAAAAATTTAAAAAAAAAACCATAATGAAAATCAGGCAGGCCACTGATTTCCAGCTACTCAAGATACTTGCAGTAAGATTGCTGCAAAAATAAGGCCAACCTGGGCTACAGAGAGCTCCCTCTGGGCATTATAGGAAGAGGCTGTCTCAAAAGATTAGAGGGCTGGGTAGTAGCTCAGTGGTAGAATGCCTGCCTGGCAAGTGCAAAGACCCTGGGTTCGATACCCAGCATCAGAAACGAACAGACAAAGAAACAACAGAGCGGGGGCAGGGCAGCCACTTCTTTAATCTCAACATTGGGAAGGCAGAGACAGGAGGATCTCTATGAGTTCGGGACCAGCCTGGGCTACGTGGTGAGTTTCAGGAAAGCCAGGGCATACAGTGAGACCCTGACTCAAAAACAAACAATATCAATAGAGCAGCGGTGCGGAACAAAACCTTATAGACTCCAGGTAGCTTTCTCCGCTCTTTCCAGCGAGGCGCACAAGCACATACGCGATCAAGATGCTCCCGGAACCTTTATTTACTGCCTCACCTACACGCATTCAGGAAGGGAACGAAAGCACACTCGCGACATTGACCGACAGCGATTGCAGCCAATGAGAACGCTAAAGGCTGTAAGCTACATCCTGTAAGACAGCCAAGGAAGTGACGTCAAGAGAACCTCGGCGCCTGGTCAGATAAACTCCAAGAGGACCAAGGCGAACTGCTTCCCTCTCTTGTGCGACTGAGAGGAAGCGAAGATGTCAGAACGGAAAGTTCTAAACGTAAGTACTCAGAATCTAGAAGTTTCTGTCGAGAGCTGGACGTCAGAGGGCTCTGGGAGAGTCTCGCTTCCTTCCGGTTTTTTCTTTGGAATTTCCCCCCCCTCAACGGTTTTCCGTGGGGCGGAGCTTCCCAAGCTCTTGCCAATCACATTTCTTTGGGGCGGGTTGTTAGCTTTTGTTTCCCTTCCGGCTTAGAAGACAGTCTTCACCAGGCGAGGGGAGTATATAACCCTTTATCCGATTGGTTTTTTGTAAAGGAAACTATCCAGTCGCTTTTTCTGGGGCGTTGGACCCAGTTTTTGTTAAGCAAATATCAGACTGGGACGCAGGGACTCAGTTTCCACTCTTGAAGAACTTTACTCTCCATTTCCTGGATTTTTTTGAGGGGGTGTGGATTTCCGAGACAGGGTGACTCTGTGTAGCTTTGCGCCTTTCCTGGATCTCGCTCTGTAGACCAGGCTGGCCTCGAACTCACAGAGATCCGCCTGGCTTTGCCTCCCGAGTGCTGGGATTAAAGGCATGCACCGCCCGGCCATTTCCTGGATTTTTTGTGTGTGTTTTGAGCCAGGGTCTTACTGTGTCTCCCAGAATGGCCTCGGGTTCATACCCACCTATATGAGCCTCCCAATTGCTGGTATTAAAGGCGTGTACCCCTACGCTGGGCCATATTCACTTTTTAAAGATTTATTTGTCTGTTTGTTTATTATTTATTTTGCCGGCATGTCTGTCTGTGCACCACGTGCGTACAGCACCCAGCCTGACTGCAAACTCATAATTCTCCTGCATCATCCTGTGCTGGGTCGACAGGTGTATACCACCATGCCAGTGTCCCACTGAAGTCTTGGCAAAGCTTTCTGCAAGCAAGGGAGACAGCTCCCTTCCCCGTGGGACTGGCTGCCAGCAAGTGCCCAAAGCAGAGTGCCTCCTTCCTGGTGGTCCACACAGTTCCTTTTTTGCAAGGGAGTTTGTTGTTCTCCATCCCCCTCACTCCTGTCTCACACTCCCAGGTGCTGGGATGGCTGGTGTGCCTGTTGGCATGATCCCAGAGTGGCTTTGCCTGTGTGGCTCACTCTAGCCTCCCAAGCACACAGAGAAAAGATTCACTGGCCAGATTTTACCCTGGGATGGTCTCTTGTGTGGTTCCCTAGTCCAGGCTAGACCATCATCATTAACAATGCCTGGTCCCCAGTTATCTCATGAACATCTAGAGTCTTATCATGTACTGGGCAAAAGGAGTCCACCCCCACTGCAAATCCGGGGCCTCTAGAACCTTCTCTGGAAGGCACATGACAGCACATGGGAGCAGCATGCACACACCCTATGATTTGTCTGGGAGAAAGTTCTGAAAGATGTGCACTCCTCCTCCCTGGCCCAACTTCTCTTCTCATGGCTGTTTTTCGAACAGCCCATGTCTGGGAAGGAAGGAACAGGATGAATCCTGGGCAGATCCCTAAAACTGGGGTATCTTGGGTCCCCTGACATGGCTCCCAGACCCATTTTTGCCCATGTGGGACCTGAGTAGCGGAAAACCACAGCATCTCCTTTCCCTGCAGAAATACTACCCACCTGACTTCGACCCATCAAAGATCCCGAAACTCAAGCTACCCAAGGACCGGCAGTATGTGGTTCGGCTGATGGCCCCCTTCAACATGAGGTGAATCCCCAGAGGTGTGAGGCCAGGAGTCTGGAGAAACAGCAAACAAGGACGAAATCCTTATCCTCATGGAGAGTAACACTTGGCCCTGCAGGGTCCTTGTACCAGCCATGACCTCTGCCTGCAGTTCTCATGTCAGGGGTTCTCTTCCTCCTCACAGACCCCAGCTCCCATCTCATCCTAGACAGGCGCCAGCCTCCCCTAGACCTTCATCCCACCCCTCCCCCGCTTTCCGGGGTTTCTCCTGCTCGGAATCTAACAACCATTCACACTTGATTTTGTGTGGAAATCATGACTCCTTATGGTCACTGAGGATGGAGAGGCCGTCCATGTTGACCGGTTGGGTGTATATCATCTTCATTCCTTCATTTGCACCTGTCTTAGTCCTTGTGAACATGGGAACTCTTAGAAGAGAGAGCATTTAATTGGTGCTCGCTTACAATTTCAGAGCCTTAGTCCATTGTCACGGCGGGGAGTGTAGTGGCAGGCATGGCAGCATGGTGCTGGAGAAGGATTTGGAAGCTACATCCTGACCCGTAGGCAGAGAGAAAAACACCGGGCCTGCCATGGGCTCTTGAAACCTCGCAGCCCAACCCCAGTGACATGCTTCCTCCAACAAGGCCACACCTCAGAATCCTTTCAAGTAGTGCCACTTCCTGATGTATGGCCTTCCAGTGTATGGCCCTATAGAGGCCATTCTTGTTCAAACCACTGCGCTCCTCCAGCAGGCAGTTGTCAGGTACCTGCTGTTGGTCCAGGACACGGCCTCCAGCCTCATGATGCTCACAGGCTAGTGGGGAGTGGGAATGATGCCCATCCTCTTGTAGTCACAGAAGGGCACATGAGGCAGGGCAAGTGGTCTGCCAGCTGCACAGTCAGGGAAGTGTTGGAATCTCAGGCCGTGGGATCTGCAGAACAAAGGCCATGAGGTAGGGCCAAGCCAAAAGTGTTTGTAGGCACAGCAGGAAGGGAAGAGGGGCCAGGGTATAGGACCCTGCAGTCCCCTGAAGCCCCACACACCTAGGCAGGGCCGTTCTCCCGTGGAGGTGCATATGCTGCAGTCGGGTGTTGGAGCAGAGTGCAGAGACGCTCGTGTGTCTGCCCTGGCTGCAGGTGTAAGACATGTGGAGAATACATCTACAAGGGGAAGAAGTTCAATGCACGCAAGGAAACGGTCCAGAACGAGGCCTACCTGGGCCTGCCCATCTTCCGCTTCTACATCAAGTGCACACGCTGCTTGGCCGAGATCACCTTCAAGGTAGGGGCTGCCTTCATTCATTCACAACCTTTCCCTCTGAGGATACCCCACAAAGGTACAGAGCGGAAGTACTTGCAGCGGGACCCACACACAGAAAAACCTGTCCACCTGCACGTGGGGAGTGTGGGATTGGGTGCACGGGTGCCGGCTGTGGCGTACTGCAGGGGTGCACGGGTGCCGGCTGTGGCGTACTGCAGGGGTGCACGGGTGCCGGCTGTGGCGTACTGCGGGGTGCACGGGTGCCGGCTGTGGCGTACTGCAAGGCCAGGAGAGACGGTACTGTGCTGGGACTTCATTTGCTGTTTCATTTAGCACAGGCTGGCCTCAAACTCCTGTGTAACCGGGGTGACCGTGATCCCCCTGCCTCCACTTCTGGTGCTGGGATGACAGCGACATCTGACTAAAAGTCATGATGTTCTTTTGTTCTTTTGTGTTTTTTGGGATGGAAGCCAAGGCTTCACAGGCACTTGGCAAAAAACCTGAGAATTCAGGGAAAGACAGGAGAAGGGAAATTCTCTTCTCAGGTCTGCACTGTTAGAAGCTGTGGGTTTGGTTGGTTGTTGGTGGTGTATTTTTCACTGTACGCTTTTTTCCTGTGAGTTCAAAAGAAGATTTGGTTAAAGTGAACAAAGCATAAGCTTGCAGAAGTTATATTTTTATTTCACGTGTGTATCTCTGGAATGTCTGTGTGTCTGATGCCCTCAAAGGCCAGAAGGGGTGTTGGGTTGCCTGGGACTGGGGTTACAGGTGGTCATGGGCCGCCATGTGGCTGTTGGGAACTGAACCCAGACCTCTGCAAGAGCAGCCAGTGCTCTAACCCCTGAGCCATCTCCTCATACCCTTATTTTTTGAGCAAGGTTCTCAGTAGCCCAAGCTAGCCTCATTCACTTTATAGCTCCCTGCTTCCACCTCCCAGACAGACGCACCCCACATTGCGTCGTCTCTGTAGTTTATAAGCAAGAAGATAAGGCACAGCCAGAAGCCTGAAAGTGTAGGTCTAGAGGCTCAGAGTAACTGGGACTGAGGGGATGGGAGCCTTGGCCAGGAGTCAGGTGATCTTCGTTATGGCCACAGAATGTTCCACAGGGTGTGGCTTTAGGGGGAAGGCCCACAGCCACCAAAGGAGTAAGCAAAGAAAAGAGACTGGCAGAGGGAATGGAGAAATGCACACAGCGTCGCAGGCCACTGCCTGGAGCCGTCAGTGACGGCTGTCCCCTCCCCTCTGCTCGCAGACAGACCCAGAGAACACGGACTACACCATGGAGCATGGGGCCACGCGCAACTTCCAGGCTGAGAAGCTCCTGGAGGAGGAGGAGAAGCGTGTGCAGAAGGAGCGGGAGGATGAGGAGCTGAACAACCCCATGAAGGTGAGCCCTCGGCCATAGCACCCTGTACCCCTCCCCTGCCCCTTCCCTTCTCCCACCCCTACACCCCTCACGTGGTGGTCCCACATGCCCCTCACCTGCCATTGCGCACCTCCTTCTCCACCCGGGCTCCTCACCTTCCCCTATTTCCTCTCCCACCCCTACCCCCTGCCCCCACGCCCCCTCACCCGCCTCTGCACCCCCAGGTCCTAGAGAACCGCACGAAGGACTCGAAGCTGGAGATGGAGGTGCTGGAAAACCTGCAGGAGCTGAAGGACCTGAACCAGCGGCAGGCGCACGTGGACTTTGAGGCCATGCTGCTGCAGCACCGCCTGTCGCAGGAGCAGCGGCGACAGCAGCAGGAGGAGGAAGACGAGCGCGAGACTGCGTGAGCAGCCCGGGCCCTTCTGGATCTTTCCATGGCTGCCCCTCCCCTCAGCTCAGATCCCCATCTTGTTCTGTCCCCTCAGACACAACTGAGACCCAGCTGCTAGGACCTTTGGGATCCAGTGCTGCATGACCATCACTGGCTTTTCATCTCAGTCCTACAGCGGTGGGTTTGTTGTTTTAGACAGTGTCTCTTGTAGTCCAGACTGGCCTCAAAAATCACTAAGTAGCCAGGGATGGCCTTGAACTCCTGACCCTCCTTCATCCACCTCCTCAGAGCTGGGGTGGTAGGCATGTGCCTCTGCACTCAGCTTCTATATACTTACTTACTTTTGTGGTGCTGGGTATGGACCCAGGGCCTCAAGTGTGCCAGCCAAATCCTCAGCCCCAGAGCCACTGCCCTCAAAACTGTTAGCATCAACACCCCCCCCCTCGTGTTCCTAGCCCTCTGAGAGCAGGAAGAGGCAGCGGCCCCTCACTGCTGCAGCAGAGACCCCTGGGGACTATACCTGGTCCTCACTGTGTCCATCCCATAGGGCCTTGCTGGAGGAGGCTCGCCACCGCAGGCTTCTGGAGGATTCTGACTCAGAAGATGAAGCTCCGCCTTCCCGACCACGGGCAACAGCAAGACCCAACCCCACAGCCATCCTGGATGAGGTGGGTAGGGCCAAAGTGTGGGGTGTGGGTGCCCAGGCTGAGCGGCCACAGGAGAAGCCATGGGCAGTGGGACTACTGTTCACGACAGGACAGACAGCCCACAGTGTGGCTTTAATACTCTGCTTCCTGCTTCTGAGCCTGAGGGAGGGAGTAGCCAGTGAAACAGTCCACCAAGAGCAGAGAGATGCTCAGTCAGTCAAGTGCCTGCCCCACAAGCACAGGACTGGGGTTTGATCCAATGCCACGTTAAAAGCCAGGTCATGGTGATGCATGCCTTTAATCCCAGCACTTGGGAGCAGAGGCAGGTGGATCTCTCATGTTTGAGGTCAGCCTGATGTATGTGGCAAGAGCCTGTTTCAAAAAATAAAGCCAGATCCAGACAAACAAGCCTGGGATCTGGCACCAGGGAGGTAGGAGGGTCCTGGGTTGTGCTGAGTAGGATCTGCAAGTCACTGAGAGACCCTGCCTCAGAAACTGAGGAGGGGATCACTTGATGAAGACGGGTGTCAGCCTCTGACTTCCACACGTGGGAGCACAGTGAACAGTACAAAAGACCACAGAACCAAGATCCGGCTCACAGGCTGTGAAGGACGAAGGGGTGTTCCTAAGTCATCAGGGTCCTGGGTGCATCCAGAACTTTGCAGCAGCTCTGGCCCAGCTATTGAAGGTTCTGGTACCTTCTAGCCTCTTCCGGCTGCATCCAGATGTGAGTGCTAGTACACACACTCAGCTTTTAGGTTAGCAGACAGCCTCAGGCATGGGGCCTCCCCTCCCACCCTCGTTGAGACAGAGTCTCTTCTTGTGACAGCTTGTGGACCAGGCTCACGGACTCCCAGGATTCTCTTGTCTTGAACTCCCATCTCCCATCAGTGCTGGGGTTGCTTACAGCCATGTGCTGGAGCTCTTTGTGCTGCTGGAGTCTTGAACTCTGGTCCTCATTCTTCAGGCAGGCATGCTACCCGGCTGGGCTCTCTTCCCAGGCCCCTGTGATCTTCCCATGTGGAATTCAGACTTCCTCTGGTTCTATTGCTTTTGTTTTTCTTTGAAGCAGGTCACACTCCACAGCCCATCCTGGCCTTGACCCACACACAGTCCTGCTTCAACCTCCCATGGGCTAGGGTGACAGGCCTGCACATTACACCTCACCTCTTCACACCCCAGAGCCCTATAACGGTGGCCTGCACCTGTCATATCAGCGCATGGGGAGGCCAGGGCCAGCTTGGGCTGCAGACTGGGCACCTGCTGTGTGCCAGGAGCTATTGGTGGCACTAGGGAGACAGTGGTCAGAAAACCAACTATGGGCCCTGGATATACTCCAGTTCTTGAGACCACACAAGGGAAGATACTTGAGATGGGTATTGAGGGGTGGGTAGGAGTTCACAGGATGAGAATGAGCAGCAGGTGAGAAGTCCTCAGACAGCACCCTGGACCTTGGGAGCCAGAGAGGAATTTAGAGCTGCAGCAGACTTTGCAAACTGACTCCACAGGACCAGGTCAGGGAAGCCAGAGGGCAACAGCTGTGCATGCTCCCCATAGGCGCCGAAGGCCAAGAGGAAGGCAGAGGCAGTGGGCAGCAAGGCACAGCTGGCCGGCTTGGTTGTGCCAAAGAAGGTGAAGGCAGAAGCCAATGGGGGCTCAGAGCAGGTCCGGATGCCTGCCACAGGTGAGTCCCCTTCAGCAGCCCTGGGTGGTAACAGTGTGCCTGGCACCGTCTAGACATTTCATAAGGTGGGTGGGGTGCAGCCAGTGACCAGAGGGGGCTAGGGCTCGATGGGCAGAGGTTCACCCAGCACTCAGGAGATGGAGGCAAGAGGATCAGGGGTTCGGGGTCAGCCTCAGCTACATAAGTTTAAGGCCAGCTTGGGCTGCATTAGGCCCTGTCTCGGGGTTGGGGATTTAGCTCAGTGGTAGAGTGCTTGCCTAGCAAGCACAAGGCCCTGGGTTCGGTCCTCAGCTCCGGGGGGAGGGGAGAGGAGGGGGCGGCGAGCCGCAAGTCAGGTGGTGGTGGTGGCGCACGCCTTGAATTCCAGCACTCAGGAGGCAGAGGCAGGCAGATCTCTGAGTTTGAAGCCAGCCTGGTCTTACAGAGCGAGTTCTAGGACAGCCAGCGCTATATAGAGAAACCCTGTCTCGAATAAAAAAGAAAGATAAAAGGAGCAAAGGCCTGGAATCAAAGTCACATGATAGCTAAATTCACCATGTGACTGGTCTGTACAGTATTAAGGGACACCAGGTAGCTGTAGCTGGTGTGCTGCCCATGTGACCTGCGGCCTCTGTCCTTTCTACAGTTTGGATAGCTCCTCCGTATGTGGAGACGAGCTTGGATTGACACATCTTTGACACAGCTGTCATTGCCGCTATTGGCACTTTTCAGAGGCAGATCCTAAAGCTCAGAGAGGCTCACCCACTGCCTGCAGCCACATAGCCGGTCTCAGTCATGAGGGCACTTGGCCCTTGACACTGTCCCTATGTCCTGTGGATACTCATCTGCCTGGGTGGGGTCTCCCTGGCCCAATGTAGGATTAGGGTGACCATGTCACAGGTCCTCCAACCCAGGCACACCCCCTGCCCTGCATCTCTGGATCAACTTGCCCTCCTCACAGGTGCCCCCGAGAGCAGGAAGGCGGTCAACCTTGCACCCCAGACACCCAGGGCCTCCTCCCTGAGCCAGCTGGGTGCATATGGGGACAGCGAGGACAGTGACAGCTGAGCCCCCACGGTGGCATCACAGACCCAAGAAACCAGAGATGGGAATAAGGAAGGCACCCTCAGCAAACACCTCGTGACAATGTCTGCTGTGGATCCTGGCAGGGATGGAGGGCAGTGTCCCTCAGCACCAGGCGCCCCAGGATGGACAGCCTGGTCCACTCCTTGCGCTATGGCGAGCTTGTTGGCCCCACCCCTTCCTGCCACAAATCTGAACACTATCTGACATGGGGCAGGGTCCCTGGGGACCATCTCCCAACAAGGCTTGGGGCTCCATCCACAACACAATACTGTGTGAGAAAGAAGATCAATTGACAACCATGTGGACCAGCAAGCGACCCTGCCCGAGTGTATAACCAGGTCTTAACGCTCACCTGGGATTACGGCCACACACCCAGCCTGGGCCTGGACCCTCAGCACATGTCCTTCCTTCACAATTTAGCATTGCATTGTTCTGGTACTGTAAAAAAACTGCCGAGGCTGAATCTGTTGTGTAGAACACGGGGAGCCTGGTACAGAGTGGCGGTGGAGAGACAGGCACATGTAGCCCCAACCAGCCTCCACCTCCCCAGTGAACCACCAAGCTGATCTTATGCCTGAAATGTTGGTGTTGGAGTCTGCTTTTCCCTGGAATTCTTGGCTCTAACCCCCTGAGTCCTCAAACCTCTCCCCTAGACAAGAACAAGGGCACATCAGTGGCACCCTGGGGTTTGGTTGAAACCCTCCCCACCCCACCCCCACTTTGGCTTCCCCAGCTTTGCAGCTGTCATCATGTCCTTGGAACTGTCAGGTCTAATCCGCTATCTCCTCCATCAGCTCCCTGGGGGCCCCTGGCAACCAGGATAGAGTTGACCCCACCACCTGTCCCCCCATGACTCTCTGCCTGCCTGCTGGTCACAAACCTGGCCCCTGTGCTGTAACACATCAGCTGCATGGGGGTGGAAGGCGCGGCTGATACAGTCGGATCTGCCAGTCCTCTACCCCAGACACCATTGTGCCTCCAGCAGACTGGAGCACTGGGAAGCAGCTGGACCTCCCCCCAGACTGGGGACCTTGAAAGTCAATGACTTGCATTCCGCCTCCCACCCCCCGCCCCCCGCTGTGGCCCAGGGAAGCAGGTGTGTACTTCCACCTGACTGGGGAGCACTGAAGGTGGGGTCACGCCTCCTCCCTCAGGCTGTGGCTCACAGAAGTAACTGTGTACTTCATCTGACTGGGGACCACTGAAGGCTGGGTCACGCCTCCTCCCTTAGGCTGGGTGCAGTGGGTTGCCTGCCCCACAGTAGACAGGAAGCCTTTCTACAGCACCTTCAGATGGGAGGCTTCTCAGGGCAAGCCCTGCATCTGCCATCAGACTACACAAGACCTGCCTCCCTAGGGGCTGGGGCCTTTTGGTTCCCTACACATTCCTGGCTCCTTGGGTTTTGACTTTTTGAGTGGGTCTCCCTCTGTAGACTAAAGGCATTGGCTCCCAGCCTCACAGACCCACTGTAGACCAATGTACCTCCCCTCCTGTCCCCGTGCTTTGGCACACTTCTTCCCAGATTTGAGGGACAGTCAGGGAGACCCCAGTGCGCTGCTGTATGCTGCTGCGTGAGGGAAGTCACACAGCTCCATTGCATGTCACCGACCGACCAGAATGTCCAGAACAGCTGCTGCAGAGACAGGACGGATTCATGGGGGCTGGCCGGGACATGGGGGTGGAATGTTCTGGAACTAGAGTGCAGCAGGTTACATGGCTTTTCTAACCCACTCATGCATTCCCCGTATTTTCCTTTCTGTTTTCATTTGGGTTTAAGGTGCTGGATGTGGGACCCAAGCCTCTTCCCCAACTCCCAGTATTGGGCCAACACTCCCCTCTCAGCCGCCCCCGACCCTTGGGTTGTACTCCTAAAAGGTGCAACAGTAGGCACAAATCAGTGGAACACATTCTCAGGGGCTGCCTATGCCCATTTTCATGCAGCAGGATGTCCCAGGGTGGTGCCCATGACCTCCGTCTCCATCGGAAAATCAAATCCGGACTCTTTTCTCTGCTCCCCCCAACATACACACACACACACACACATACACACACACCCCACTCCCCTCCCTTTGGAGGCGAGGGAAAGTCAAGCGCCGTTTGGTTCCGCCTCAGGGCTGCTGATTGCCATTCCTGCCACGCGCAATTAGCCCCCCTCCATGCGGTGGACGAGATTTGCCTGTGATGGCCTTGGCTGCCACCGCCTGCGTCAGCACACGGGACGATTGCCCGCGTGTTCTGGTGACCGCTAGGGACTCAGCGGGCCGAGATACGAGCTGCGAGTGGTCAGGGGACAGCCAACACCGGATGCTGTGCTTGCTGTAAGCCTCAGTTTCCCCACCTGGAAAACAGGGCTCATAGTGGATGAGAGGATGAACACATTTAGTGAACGACCAGTGCCACCCTCGAGATGTCCAGGCACAAACTGACGGATGGGTAGCCCGAATAACAACCCACACACATAGCTTCTCTGTGCCTCAGTTTCCTCGACCTGAACATCTCAGTGGGTAGGGCACTTGCCTAGTATGCACGAAGCCCCTAGTGTCATCCCTAGCACTGGGAGGCTGAGGCAGGAGGATCGGGGATTCGGGTCATCCTTTGCTGCAAATGAGTTGTAGGCCCCCTGGGCTACATGACACCCCCATCAGTAACTCTTCTGTCAATGCTTCCTGCACCTTTACCGTTTGGGAAGACCAAGGCACTTAGACCCGTGGCCGTGGTTCAGACGACTCTGGCTGACTCCTGCTCCGCACTTCCCCTCCTTGGGGTCCCACTTCCCAGCCCCCTCTGCAGCCCTTGGGGTCCCAGCCCGCTCCCCTCCCTCCCCTGGCAGACCCGCAGCTGCGGCCGCCTCCCGCCCCTCCCCCTCGCCCGCCACAAAGCGACGGACGCGGCAGTGACGGACGGCGCCTCCCGCCCCGCGCCACCGCCAGCCGCGACCCCGCGCGATGCTCCGGTCTCCTGCCCAATCCCCTCCCCGCCCTGGTCCCAAGGGCAACTCGATCCCCGCGCCAGTGGCCTCTTCCTTCGGGGCCCTCCTGGGTCCGGGTCCCGCAGTCCCCGCCCCGGAGCGACTGAAGGTCTGAGGTCTGCAGGTCTGTCCTTGGGGCGGGGGCGGGACCCGGTGGGACGCGGGTGTTCTCGCCCCTCCCACAGCCCCGGGAGCCCAGACCGGGACCCAGGGTTTTATGTCCCTTTGTGCGGTGGCGATGGCAGTAGGCGGTTAAGGGATTGGGGAGGTTAAGAGGTTGCGGGGGTGGGGGCAGGGGGTGGGTAAGAGACCCGGGGGTTAAGAGATGGCTGCGGTAAGAGATCGGGAGGTTAAGAGATGTGGGGGTGAGGGATCCGAGAGTTAAGGGGTACGGGGGTGGTTAAGGAATCCAGGGGTTAAAGGAAGGGGAGGTTAAGAGATGGGGGGTAAGGGATCCGAAGGTTAAGAGATGGAGGAGTAAGGGATAAGGGGTTAAGAGATGGGAGTGTTAAGGGATAGGGAAGTAGGGGATGGGGTTAAGGGATCTGGGAGGTTAAGAGATGGGAGGTTAAAGGATAAGAGGTTAAGGAATGGGGGGCAGGTAAGAGATAAGGGAGTTAAGGGAATGATTGGGGATTTAAGGAATCAGGGCAGCTGGATCCTTGGGATCAGACGGCAGCCCACCGGAGTACGACCCTGTGGGTGACCCAGCCTCTGGCAAGTTTGTGTGTGGAGCTCTTGGAGACAACCGCGCTGACACCATACTGTGTTGCCTACAACTCAGACCCCAAAGTGCGCGGCTCCTGCAGCGCTGGGGTCACCAACTGCTGTCCCCTCCGCTCTGAGCCCACTCCCCCTCCTCTTCCCTCCTCTCCCTTCTTCCTATCCCTTTTGTCTCCCCCTCCTTCCTCCCACCCAGGACGAGCTGCGGAGCACGCATGGAAAGCCTGGTCTGACACCAGCCTATTTCGGGGACACCGATGGCCAAGTGGCTCCGGGACTATCTGAGCTTTGGCGGCCGGAGGCCCCCGCCGCAGCCACCCACCCCCGACTACACCGAGAGCGACATCCTGCGGGCCTATCGAGAGCAGAAGGACCTGGACTTCGAGGATCCTTACGAGGACGCCGATGGCCGCCCCGAGCCGGAGCCCGCCGGGCCTGGGGACTCCAAGTACGACTCTCCCAGGCACCGGCTGATCAAGGTGGAGGCTGCGGACATGGCCAGAGCCAAGGCCCTGCTGGCCAGCCCCGGGGAGGAGGTGCGTGGTGGGGCCCAGCACAGGTGCTCCGTCCCCATCATCCCAGGGTCTCCACATCATGTCGCCCCGCCCCCAAGGAGTCTAGAGCTTCTAGGCTAGCGAGCGTCCCCCTCCAGCCATTCTCCATTCAGAAAGACCAAGGGTGGGCGCTGTTTTTGTTTTGTGTGAGACTTGGTCCAAGGTAGCCCAGGCTGGCCTCAAACTCACTACTTAGCTGGCGATGATCTTGAACTCCTGAGACTCCTGCCTCTACTTCCCAAGTATGTGTCACAGGATGACAGGCATGTGTCACACTCGAGGTTTATGCTGTGTGTGATAGAAGCTGGACCTGGTGCATGCTAGGCAAGTGCTCTGCCCTCAGAGCTTCGGCCCTGCTTAGTTAGTTTCTATGGCAGTGTTTCTCAGCCTATTGGTTGCAACCTGCTTTGGGTCCAACAACCCTTTCACAGGGGTCATGTAACACCATCAGAAAACACAGATGTTTCCTACGATTGTAACGGTAGCAAAATTACAGTTATGAAGTAGCAATGAAAATAATCCTATGGTTGGGGGTCACCACAACATGAGGAACTGTATTAAAGGGTAGCAGCATCAGGAAGGTTGAGAACCACGGCTCTATTCGTTTGGTTTGGTTTTGAGACAGGTTCTCTCTGTGCAGCCCAAGCTGGCCTAAAACTTGTAATCCTGCTGACTCCAAAACCTCTGGAAGGGGCCAAGATGAGAGGAGGAAGGGACACAGGGAGACAAGACAGACTAGAATTAAACCCTGCCTCATACCCCCCAGCTGTGTGACCCTGCCCAGGTCCCTAACCTCTGCTTTTGTCTCTTCGCCTGTGAAACAGGCTTATCTCCTTACTAAGGGCTTAGGGCCTGGTATTAGAACCATACAAGAGGGGGCTGGGGACTGGGTTTGAATTCCCAGAACCCACTTAAAGAGCTGAGTGTGCTCATAAAGCCAGCACTGGGGAGGCAGGCACAGGAGGATGCCCGGGACTCCCTAACCAGCCTACCTCTGAGAAATATGAAACGGCCCAGCAAGGGCAGGCAGAGAGTACAGGGTCACACAACAGGGGCATCCAGAGCTAGCCTGAGCCTTTCCCAGCAGCCCGAAGCAGACACAGAGTACTCGGACCCTTTCGATGCCCAGCCTCAGCCGCCAGCCCCGGATGATGGGTACATGGAGCCCTATGATGCTCGGAGAAGCTCGAGTGGTGAGTTCACAGGGCTGGGGATGAGGGCACGGTCCTGCAGAGGAGAGCAGGGTGACCAGTGTCTCCTCCACCCCAGAACGGCCAAGCAGAGCTGTCCAGCTTTACGATACTCCTTATGAAGAACAGAATGCAGAGCCGGAAGATGGAGCGTCTTCCGGCCAGAGCCGGCTGCCCCTGGAGGACGAGAGGCCGGCGGATGAATATGACCAGCCTTGGGAGTGGAAGAAAGATCACATCTCCAGGGCCTTCGCAGGTATGCTCAAGCTCAGGCCCCTCTCAGGCCTCCTCCCTCCACTGCCTCAGTTCTCACTAACGTCAATTCTCCCCCATAGAAAATTCCCCCTTTTCCCCCCGACCCCGTTCTGTGTAGTCTTGGAAGAGACATGGCTGTGTCATCATCACACTGGACTTGTGGTCATTATAGAACCAACCTAACAGGGTGATTGTAGACTAAATACTAGAACGCACTCAATTGTGTGGGAGCTGGTGAAAGGCAGCAAGGGGTTTTTAGGAGCTGTCACTTGGTAGACTTGGAGTCAGACATTTCCTCGCTAAATAGAGTAAGAGGATAACAGGGTCAATATCAAAGAATATCAAATAACGCAGGTCCAGAAGAGATGGGGCCATGACTTTAACAAGTGCTCCCTTCCACTGTGTAGGTAGTTCTGCTTACCCACAGGTACCTTTACCGGCTGAGGGAATGACAATTACAAACTTGCAACCCATTCCTGTTGGCCACACCCCCTGTGCTCTGATTTGCCAGTCAAGGCAATGTCCCGCCCTTTCCATGGTATCTGAATTCTGGGTGGCCACGCCCTTCGTTCCCAAAGACCAATCACAGCTCCTGTGTCAATCTTGTCCTACCGTAGACTCCACCTCCATCTCCTGGGCTCTGATAGGCTGCCCCAAGTTGAGGTTACATTGGTTCCATTCCTGCCCTCTGTGTAGGCAGGACTTAACCTCTCACCCTCCTCTCCTAGTACAGTTTGATGGTCCTGACTGGGAACGGACCCCAAGCTCGAGCAAGGAGCCTCGGAGACCGCAGCCTGCGGAGCGCGTGGACGCAGCCCTGACCCTGGAGAAGCAGCCGTGAGTGCAGATGCTGGAGGAGGGGTGGCCCCAGGGACCCAGGAACTGCAAGGGAGCTGGGGCCTCATTCACTCACTCAGTCATTCATTCATTTCTTTGGTGAGGGTCTCATGTAGCCCAGGCTGGTCCCCACTCAGCATGTCCAAGGGAATTGTCTCGCTGTGCCCTGGGGTCCTTCCTTCGGCCCCCAGGTGTGTAAAGTCAACTGGAGGTGTCTGTCTCCTCTCCCAGGTGGTTTCATGGGCCCCTGAGCCGTACAGAGGCCGAGAACCTTCTGTCCCTCTGCAAAGAAGGCAGCTACCTAGTGCGGCTCAGTGAGACCAGGGCTCAGGACTGCATCCTGTCCCTCAGGTGAGACCCAGCCTCAGTGCCGCACCCTGATAGGGCTCCTGGGCCAGTGGGTGGGGCTTCCAGGCCAGTGGGTGGGGATTTCTGGAAAGTGGGAGGGCTTTCAGGCGGCTTCGTGGGGCTCCTGGGCCAGTGGCTAAATGGGCCCTACAGGGAGCTAGCTTGGACGCCTCCCTAGCAAGAGATCCAAACCTCGGGAAGTTCAGGGAACCAGCGCCCAAGGTTCTTTTGAATGGCTCTGTCCAAAACTTGACATGCAGCCCTGAGGGTCTGTGTGAAGGCAGATTCTCACAATGTTCTAGAAAGCACTAGAGTTTGAGGCTCTGGTTCCTTAAGATGCCTAAAGTGTGAGTCCACCATAGCACCACACGACTTGTCATCCCAGCACCGGGATACGGGGATGAGGGGCGGGAGGATCAGTTCAAGTTCAGCCTCAGCTACTCACCCAATTTGAGGATATACTGGACTACATGAGATTGTCTCAATAAAAGCGGGGGAAGGGCCTGGCGAGCCAGTTCAGTGGTTAAGGGTGCTTGCTGTACTTTGGGAGGACCTGGGTTCAGCCCCTACATCAAGCGGCTCACAACAGCCAGTAATTCCAGCCCCAAGGAATATGACACCCTATTCTGGCCACTATGGGTACTGTGCGCACACACATACACATGTGTTAAAATATAAACCTGGGGCTGGAGAGATGGCTCAGAGGTTAAGAGCACTGACTGCTCTTCCAGAGGTCCTGAGTTCAATTCCCAGCAACCACATGGTGGCTCACAACCACCTAATGAGATCTGGCTCCCTCTTCTGGTCATACATGCTGTATACATAATAAATAAATAAATCTTTAAAAAATAAATAAATAAATAAATAAAATATAAATCTGGGCTGGCAAGATGGCTCAGTGGATAAAGGTGCTTGCCACCAAGCCTAAAGAACTTGAGTTCAATCCCAAGGACCTATATGGTGAAGTAGTGAAATGACCTCCACAAGCTGTCCTCTGACTTCCACATGTGTACTCCCAATGCACATATACATAACTAAATCATGTACAAGATAGTTTTAAAAGGGGGCAATAGGAGTAGAGCTAGCCTCTTCATTGACTCAACATTGTTAGAACGCCTGCCTTTATTCCAGGGTCTCCTTTAGGAGCTGGGGCGCGGGCACAGATGAACTCAGGTTCCAAAATGGGATTGTGGAAGATGAGAGGAAGTGAGGGAGGACTTTTACAGAAGTGACACTGGGTCTGGGCTGGAGCCATCAGGGCCAGGGTGAGCAGGGTAGGAAGCGGTCTTACTGCAGAGCCCGGGCTGGCCTAGAAGAACTCAGAGATCTGCCTGCCTCTGCCTCCCAAGCACTGGGATTAAATAAATACATTTATTTATTATGAGGAGGAGGTCTCACGATATAGCCTTGCCAGGCCCAGAACTCACTATGTAGACCAGGCTAGTACTGAATTTGTAGCAATCTGCCAGCCTCTGCCTCTCAAGTGCTGCGATTTTTCATTTACTTTTGTGCATGTGTGGGTGTAGAGGTCAGAGGACAACTTTGGGGGTTCAGTTCTCACCTTCCACTATGTGGGTCCTGGGGAATCGAACTCAAGTCAGCAAGCTTGGCTACAAGCGCCTTTACTCTCTGGTCCCTCTAACTGGTCCAGAACTGAGCTTCAAAGGGAAAGATACATTACAGAGTCATGGAGGTCAGGAAGTCACTGAGACTGTCGTCCTGTCCTTCGGAGAGGCGCTGGGTGGGGCTGCCAGAGGTGTCCCTGGAGGCCCAGCACCTACCGTGCACTTGTGGGAAAGTGGCTGTGGAGAGATGAGTGGGTCTGGGGGACTGAAGCTCTGCCTTGACCCACAGGAGCAGCCAGGGTTCCATGCACCTGAAGTTCACGTGGACCCGGGAGAACCAGGTGGTGCTGGGCCAGCACAGTGGGCCCTTCCCCAGCGTGCCCGAGCTGGTCTTGCATTACAGTGCCCGCCCGCTGCCTGTACAGGGCGCCGAGCACCTAGCGCTGCTCTACCCTGTCACTGGCAGCCAGAGCTCCTGAGGGACCCGGCACACTGGCTGCCAGGTCAGAAAGAGGACAGGGGGACCCACAATGCAGACTCCCTCCAAGCCAAATATAATGTCCTTTTGAGGGGGGGAGTTCCAGGGACCCCTCTCTGTGACCAAACCAAACCTGTGAGTGGGCTTGACTGGTAAAAAAAAAAAAAAAAAAAAAAAAAGGCTCTTGCTTCCAGGCCTGAGGGGTTCCAATCCCGGGGCAGAGAGCAGACACCTGCAAGTTGTCCTCTGATTTACACACACAAGTCACACACCATAAATTAATAAATAAATGTAATAACAATGAATTTTAAAACCTTGTCATTCCCTGCTATTCTTTTGGGGTTGTGGGGAGAGGCCAGGCAACCGCCCAGACCTCAGACCTCGGAGCATTCCCAAAGCCATGGCAAGCACAGATAGATGCCTGTGGGGACTGAGCAGTGAATGACAAAGCCTTTGTCACAGAGACCCAGCTGGGGTTAGAGGCTAAATGTCCCCAGGGGCGGGAACAGCGTCGCCTCATCCCAGCCTGCAGCTGGGCCTCTGGCCTGCCAGGCAGAGCAGATATCTGTCCCCTGGGAAGTCCACGGGAGGGGTGTGGGGGAGGGGAGACAGCAGCAGTCCTTGTCACTTCAAGGTGACATTGGGCAGGACAGGACCATGGTACATGCTAGTAGCTCTGACCCTCAACACTCCTGGCTGGAGAGGAAGCCATCTGGTGGTCCATTGAGTGGGAAGGGGCTATCCAGGCCTGAGTGTGGACTCCCTGCTCCTTGGACATGTAAAAGCAAGGGAAGACGGGGAATTATGTAATTACATTATAATCGAAATGTGCGTGGGTAAGTACACGTGTGTGCCTGTATGGGGTCTGCAGTTCTGAGCTTCCAGAAGTGGCTGCTGGGAATCGGTCCTCAGAAGGGTAGTTTGTACTCTTAACTGCTGGGCCATTGCTCTAGCCCCTATTATAAAAATATAAGGCAGTCAGTCAGGTTAACCCAGCACTCAGGAGGCAGAGGCAGGGGGATCTCTACGAGTTCAAGGCCAGCCTGGGCTACAGAGCGAGTTCCAGGACACCAAGAAACCCTGTCTCGAAAACAAGGAAAAATAAAAAATGGAGCAGACTCTTCCTGGCCAAAGTGTGATGCCAGGCCATCTCCAGGAACCCTGGAACCCACAAATGACTTCATTATTGGTAGCACCACAACCAACACGGCCACAGGCTTTAGCTTTGCGTCTTTGAAGAGCCTTGTTAAAGTTGAGCTTGGCTGTGCAGGCTTGTCACTACAGTTATTGGTCCTCGAGGTTGTTCAAGGCCAGCCTCGGCAACATAATGGGAATTTGTATCAAAGTAAAGAGAAAAAACAGAACTAGGGATGATTATCAGTGGAGACCTACCTAGAATCCCAGTGAAGGTCTGGGGCGTGGTCAGGGTGGAGCCCCGCCTAAAATCCCCCAGTGAAGGTCTGGGGCGTGGTCAGGGGTGGAGCCCCGCCTAGAATCCCCCAGTGAGGGTCTGGGGCGTGGTTAGGGTGGAGCCCCGCCTAGAATCTCCCAATGAGGATGGGGCGTGGTCAGGGGTGGAGCCCCGCCTAGAATCTCCCAATGAGGATGGGGCGTGGTCAGGGGTGGAGCCCCGCCTAGAATCTCCCAATGAGGATGGGGCGTGGTCAGGGGTGGAGCCCCGCCTAGAATCTCCCATTGAGGATGGGGTGTGGTTCAGCAGTAAATCACTTGCATAGCATGGTTGAGGCTCTGGGTTCCATGCACAGTATTTAAAGGAGCCTTTATTAACAGTCCCTGGGTCATGTCATTAATCTCAGCCTGTAGCTGTCGGACGCCCCTTCTCCTTATAGAAACAGCGACACCCTCACATAGCTCTTGTCCAGGTCCATTTTGGGTTCTCAGGGGTCTCCAAAGCCTCTTTCGACTTCCAGGATCCCTCTTGGCATGTGGCCTGTCCCTACTTCCTAGGGCTTGCAAGAGACTCACAGTGGGCAGAGATGGCGTGGCCAGGCCTGGGCCCGGGGCTGGGTTTGTTGACAGGAAGCTGCTGGCGCGGGGCAGGCTTGGGGAAGGTGGTGAGATAGATGGCCTGGGCTCTCTGGTCCCTGGCTGTGTCCTTCTCCTTAGGCCGGTCCCGAAGCCTGCGTGGACTCTCCCGGGGCCGGAAGAGGACATTGCTGTAGAAAGAATTCTCTGGGGGCAGGTGACACAAATCAAAAGGCGACAGTGAATTAGGAGTGGCCCCAGCTGTCTTGGCACAGGGCGGGGCCAGCCTTCCCTGCTACGCAGCCTCCGCCTCCGCCCGCACCCCCAGCCTCCTTGGCAAGGTGTTGCAGTCCGACGTCTGCCACACCTGGGCGGTAGCACCATGTACAGAGATTCCTTCAGCACCCGTAAGACTCACCTGGGCAGGTGCTCTCCCCCGAGTCCTCCCGACGACACCTGCTGAGACCCCACAACACAGCACCCAGCACCACCAAGGCTGCCACCACACCCCCAGCCACCAGAAGCGCCAACAGGAGCCCTGGGTGGGGAGACAGAGGGGACTGTCTGTGGAGGAGGGGCAGGCAGGGTAGGGCAGGTGGGAGGAGGGGAAGGGCTCACCTGAAGGGTGGGAGGTCTCCTTCAGAGGGAGGCCACCTGCAGGGAAGAGGTTCCTGTTTCAGGAGAATGACCACTGTGGAGCCCAGACACCTGCTCCACCTCTCCTCCCCGCCTCAGGACACTGAACCTGGCAGGCTCGGCTAGGCGGGTGTCCAGCTAGACCCTCAGTGTCCTCTTCTGAAAATGAGTGAGTATAACAGTCTTCTTGGGCTATCAGTGGGGTGAGGTCTAACTGCAAACTAGGGATTCTATCCGTGGTAGCTCCAAATTCTTCTTGAGACCCTCTCTCCTCCAAATGACTTCTGCCCCCAGCCCCTCACTCTACCTCTCATCCAAGCCCCAAATCTTAGTACAAAGTACACTAAACGCCATCACTCTGAATTCACTCTGCCAAGACAGGAAAGCCCACAGCTGTGTGTGGCAGGACAGGTGACGGGGCTGGAGCTCAAGCCCCGGGTCAGATAGCCAATCAATGAACACACAGGGCTGGAGTCCAGGTCTATATGACTGCTAGGATCCACAATCAATCTTAGGACTTACAGAAGGTGGGTCACCCCCAAACCCTCCTCTTGCAGGTGCTGATGTGAGCAGGGGTCCCTGGAAGCTGTTGGGGGTAGAGAAGCCAGCTGGGTGCAGCTGCTCCCCACCCCCGCAGCATGCTAACTGGCTACTCCTCAGGCTGGTGGTGATGAGCCACACAGCCAGAACACAGCTCCCGCAATGACAAGGTCTCCCTGCCAGCTGGAGAAGAACACACCGGGTGCTCCATCCTGGCAAACAGGAGCTAGCACAACACAGACCAGCAGGAACCACTGAGTCGGTGCCAGGCCAAGGCTACTGGGTCCCAAAAGGCCCTGCCATGACAGACAGGGAGGAATGTGCACCTTGTTCCAGGGCAACCAAGCTGAACACAGTGGGGTTTGCCTTTGTTTTGTTTGAGACAGTGAAACCCAGGCTGGTGTTGAACTCTTGGCAATCCTCGGGCTGCCTCAGCTTCCCGTGAGCAGTAGGATAACAGGTAAGTGCTGCCACATCCCACTGAAGCTCACCCTCCAGAAAGCTCCACACCTGGCTCTTCTATTATATATCGAGATAGGGTCTCCCTCTGTAGCTCAGGCTAGCCTCCTAAGTGCCAAGGACGACAGGTCTGCCATTTTTCAAAATGACTATTTTTATGTTTGATTATGTATGCATGCAGTACCAATGGTGGCCAGAAGGGCGGCGGCGGGTCCCCTGGAGCTGTAGTGACCATTGGCTGTGAGCTGGCACGTGGGTACTGGGAACTGAACCAGGTCCTCTGCAAGAGCAGCCAGTGCTCTCACCCCTGAGCTGCCTCTCCATCCCCTTGCACAGCTTTTTGAGACAGGATCTCATGTAACCCAGGCTGGCCATGAGCTTCTGACCCTCTGGCCTCACTGCCTGCTACTTTTCTTTCTCTCACTCGCTATGGAACCCAACCTAGCTTTCAGTCTGGCATCCTCCTGCCTCAGCTTCCCAAGTGCTGGTGTTGCAAGTGTGCTGTGGGCAAGTTTATACTCAGAACCAGAAATTCGGGAGTCTGGGGATTCCAAAGCCTCCCCCACCCACATGCTGCTTCATCCTGTTCATACCTGCCTCTACCAGGACCTTGGTCCCGTTGCCCTTGGCCTTCTGCAACTTGGGGATCTCCAGGGTGGCCTGGCACACGTAGTCCCCGCTGTCGTTAAGGCTCACGTGGTCCAGCCACAGGCTGAGGTTTGCGGGAGGCCACCAGGACAGCTGTCCCCGAGACCTGCAGCCCCCAGGGTTGAGGCTGCCATTGGAGATGAGCAGCTGGCAAAAAACGACATTGTTCCGGACCCACTCCACACGCAGCCTCTCCCAGGACTGACTCTGCTTCACCCCGCAGAACAGCGACACCTCGCCGCCTTGTGTCACCTCCACCCTCGGGGGCCACTGCTGCACGCTCAGGCTCACAGCTCCCTGCAGGCCTAGGAAAGACACACATGTCACACAAGTCTAGCAAGCCCCATGAGGGCCTGAGTTCGAGTCCCTAGAACTGAAGAAGACGGAGCGTGGTGGTGTCACCCCGTGCTGGGGACACAGAGCCTGGATTATCCAAGAGCTCTCTACCAGTTGTTCCCACAGGCAAGCCTCTGGCCAAGGAGAGACTGGATCTCAGAAAATCGGTGGAGATGGACTGAGGAAGATTCTGGGGGTAAACATCTGGCCTCTATGCATACACACACACACACAAATACACATACAAATACATACTCACACATACATATACACACATAGACATGCATATACACATGGGCATGCATACACACACATAGACATGCATATACATAATACATACACACACATGGACATGCATATACACACATATACATACACACATACATACACCTAGACATGCATACACACACACACATAACCAACATTGGGGCCAGTACACTGGCTGGTAAAGTCACTTGCTGCCAAGCCTGAGGACTTGAGTTCCATCCCCCACAGCCCACATGGTGAAGGGGAGGGGAGGGCGCTGGCAATGGCTTGGTGGTTACTGAGGCTTCGGGAGACCCCACACCTCTGGCCTCTGGGGGCCCCTGCACTCACATGCACACACACCCCATATATATAAATCTCTTGTGGAGCATGGTGACACACACCTTTAATACCAGCTCTCCAGAGGCAGAGACAGATCTCTGAGTTCCAGGCCAGCCTGGGCTACATAGTGGGAACCTGACCCCCAAAAGCAAGATCCTGTCTCAAATGAACACAAGAGTGTGCGGGCCAGAGGCTGGTTCTGGTCCCCACAGCCTGGGGCCAGTGTTTAGGTCATGGTTTGGGTTCCTCCGGAGACCCTGTAAGGGCCCAAGCATCCAGAAGTTCAGGGTGGTTCTGATGGGGGATCAGGCAGCTGAAGAGGGCTAGACAGCAGGAGGTGGTGTACAAGGTGGGGACCCCCAGGTACTCACCCCAGAGCTGCAGCAAGATGAATGCCCAACCAGGAGAGCCCATCCCTGAACCATCAGGTCCCAGGCTCGCCCTGCTGCACCCGGGTCGCCCAGCCCCCACACACACTCTTCCTGTCACAGCGCCCACCCCACCCCCACTGAGGTGACATGGGGGGCGGAGAAACACAGAGGGCAGGCAGACATACATCCTGTGTTTCAGGCTGTGGGGAAAGAGGATCCAGTTCCTTCCACCCTGTGCCTCAGTTTCCCCCAAAGCATTCTACATCAAAAAGGAAGTATGCATCCGTCTGTGGGTGTAGAGACTGGGTTCATGGGAGTGGAAATCTCTCTGGAAGATACTGCAGAGGACAGAGGAAGAGCCACAACAGAGTGTAGGACAGAGGGACAGCAAGGAATGAGTGCCAGATGAGGGAGCCCGGGGCTGGGCTCATTGAGCCGAGCACTTGTCCAGCGAGTGCAAGGCCTGGGTTCCAGCCCTAGAACCCCACAAAACAGGCATAGTAGGGCACACCGGTCATCCCAGTGATGCTGAGGTGGAGGCAGGAGGATCGAGTTCAAGGGCAGCCTTGGCTATATAGGGAGCACGAGGCTAATCTGGGCAATGAGACACTTCTCAAAAAGTCAATCAATACATTAAGATCCCTCTGCCCCAGTTCCTGGGTCCCTAAGTCATAGCTTGTTTCAGTTCGGGGCATGAGGCCCAGGGCTCACATGGAGCAGGTACAGGCCATGTCAGCGGATTTCTGTAGTAACTCACAGGTGTGGTGGCACACACCTTTAATCCCAGCACTCGGGAGGCAGAGGCAGGCTGGATTTCTGCGAGTTCCAGGCCAGCCTGAGCTACATAGAGAGACCTGTTCTGGTAGCAAAAACTCTGTTCTCAGTCAAACCACAAGGACATCAGTGACTTCCTGGTGGGCTGTGCATATCTATACACAGTGTATATCTATACGTCTATCACAGCTGTCCCCAAGCCCATCTGTGGTCAGCCAACCCCGTGGGAGGTTGGGATCCCTGTCTGGGTGAACGAAGCAGTCTCAGTCCGTCGAGGCCAGTTCTGTCTCTTACAGGTTCTGGTTGCTGCTCCAAGGCCTGGGCAAAGTTGGAGCCCGGAGGTCCTAGCCGTCAGCCCTCAGCCTCAGTCCCAGTCCGGGGTCAGTGGTCAGTGCGGTAAAGTTCAGAGTCTCACACTCAACCACTGTGTGACCTACTTTCTCACTGGGCGCTTCCTGGAATTGTTCTGAACCACAAGTCATCAAAGGACAGTTCTCAGAGCAGCTGGGGTGCCAATTTGAGTAGCAAATGGAGACGATGTGGGGGTGCATAAGGGGTGCCTCCGAGGTCACAAGACAGGACCTGAGGCCAAAGCCCGATTCCCTGACTTCTGCCTAGGCACTCACTCATTCCTCCCAGTATCACACAGGGATATCCGTGCTCTGGAGGAAGGCGATTCCCAGCGCCGGACTACAATTCCCGGCAGCGCCGGTCGCGTGCGCATGCGCAATACATGCAGTGATGGAGCGCTGACTGGGGGCGCGGCGGCGGAGGCGGCGAGGGCGCGGAGGGCTAATTGACTGCCGGCTGCGGCCAAGGAGGCTTGAGTGTTTGGAGAACCAGCTGAGGGGGACCCCGCGGCGGGGTCGGGGAGACCCAGGGCTGCAGCTATGGAGGACCAGAGGGTAGGACCGGGAGGGATGCTCGGAGCGGGCGTGGGGAGGGGACCAGGTGATGCCGCAGCGCCCCTCCCCCTCACGGGCCGCCTGCACCATGGCTCGGGTTAACACGCAGACCCCAATCCTTCTCCCCTCATTCAGCTCCTCATCGTCCTAGCCTGGGCTCAGCTGGAGACTCACCCCGCAGGTCACCGCCCCCAGCTCCGCAGTGACCAGCCCCACCCCCACCCCCGGGTGGGTGCCCGGAGCTGGCGCCCTCCTCCTCCACCTGCCATGGGGATCCCCCTCTCCAAGCACCACCCTTCGCAAGTGAGACCTTCAGGTTGCCCAGATGAACTCCATCCACTTTCCAGGCTATCCTGACCCACGCCTATCACACCTCGCCCAGGAGAAATTTGTTTCTCCATATAGCCCTTTACCCCAGGCTAGCCCAGTTGGACCCTGGGACTCGCCTTGCTACCCTCTCACTGCAGCTCACCGTCAACTTTCAAGATTGCAGATACTGGCCTGGGGTGTTGGTGGTGCACGCCTGTCACCCCAGACTCGGGAGGTAGAGACAAGAGGTTGATGTGAGTTCCAGGCTAGCCGGGACTACACAGTGAGACCGCGGGGAAGGTGGCTCAGTGGGGAAAGTGTTTGCTGTGTAAACGTAAGGACCTGAGTTCAAGTTCCCAGCGCTCACGTAAGAAGTTAGTGCAGCTGCATACACTGTAACCCCGGCCCTGGGAACATGGACACAGGAGGATCCCTGGTGACTCGGTGGCAGCTAGCCTAGCCCAGGCTCAGTGCGAGACCTTCCCTCAAGTAATACATGGAAAGTGACAGAGGGAGACAACCAATATTGACACCTGGCCTCCACACACACGTGCATGCACACACATGTATGTGCACACACACAAACTCATATAAGCCCAGTGCTCATACCATGTAACTAGGGTCCATCCCTGAGAGGCCGGCTGTATGCCTCAGTTTCCTTCTCTGCAATGGGGATGCCACAGCCTCGCCCCAGGCCTGCATCCCTGGAGGGCAGCATTCAGCCAACCCACTGCCCATGTTCCTTCTGTTCCTCAGGAGGCACTAAGAAAAATCATCACCACCCTGGCTGTGAAGAATGAGGAGACACAGACCTTCATCTACTCCCTGAAGCAGATGCTGCTGAATGTAGAGGTGAGCAGAGCAGTCAGTTCTGCAGACTCTGGTGGAGGGGTGCAGGGAGAGGCCAGGAAGTATCTCTCTCCACACCTCAGTCTCCCGTCTACATGGCCTCGCCTTTTCTTTTTCTGAGACACGGTTTCTCTGTGTAGACTTGGCTGTCCTGGAACTCACTCTGTAGACCAGGCTGGCCTCGAACTCACAGGGAACCATCTGCCTCTGGCGTGTGTCACTGTACCCGGCTCTTGGTGGCCTCTTCCCATGCAGGCAAACTCAGCCAAAGTGCAGGAGGACCTAGAAGCCGAGTTCCAGTCCCTCATGTCGGTGCTGGAGGAGCTGAAGGAATCCATGCTAATGAAGATCAAGCAGGACAGGGCTAGCCGCACCTACGAGCTGCAGGTGTGAACACACATCCATCCCCTCCCTCCGGAGCCTCTGGTCCCCTCCTAACCCTTCCCCAAAATATCTTCTCTGGCATCACCACCTCCCTACAGTTTCCCAGTCCTTTCCACTCCCCCCAGAACCAGGGTAACACACCTGCTCAAACACCTCCCATAACTGCCGTGGACTCTCCAGCTCCAAGCCGGCGTCTCTCACATTGTACCCAAACTTCATCCTGACTTTTCAGGATCCCACATTCCCACCTGTGGTAACCAGGGAGCCTGGGGGACTCAGGTGTGAGTCCATCCCAGCCTGGCTCTGCCAGCGCCCAAAGCTCCAGTCTACTCTTCCCACCTGGAGCCCTGTTAGGCTGTGGGTCCTGGGGGTGGCAGAGCTCTGGGGGGGTGGGGATTGTGGTGGTTGAGGGATCTGTCCCCATTGAATGCTGCTCACAGAACCAGCTAGCCGCATGCACACGGGCCCTGGAGAGCTCTGAGGAGCTCCTGGAGACAGCCAACCAGACCCTGCAGGCCGCAGACAGCGAGGACTTCCCTCAGGTGGGTGTCAGTGAGAGGACTCATAAGGTCCCAAGGTCAAATGCACTGTGTCCAGATTTTTGTTGTTGTTCTTATTCTGGTTTTTGGTTTTTGGTATTTTTTGTTTGCTCTGGTTTGGGTTGGTTATGTTTGTTTGTTTGTTTTTGTTTTTTGGGTTTTTTTTTTTTTTTTTTTGGTTTATTGAGACAGGGTTTTTCTGTGTAGCCCTGGCTATCCTGGAACTCTCTTTGTAGACCAGGCTGGACCTCACAGAGATCTGCCTGCCTCTGCCTCCCCAGTGCTGGGATTGAAGGCATGCGCCACCACTGGTTTTGTTCATTTTTATCGCACATATTTATTTGTGTGTGGGAGGGGCGTGTGCAGCCCACAACGCTCCTACCCTCCTTTCATCTGAGTGTGCGGATCACCTCAGGTGTATCAGCAAGCGCCTTTACTCTCTGAGCCTCTCGCCAGCCCACAAGTCATTTTATTTAGATAGTGCCTCCATGCAGCGTGAAACGCAAGTATGTCTTCGAGACCACTCAGTGAGGGACTGGGGCTGGGGCATGGTGGACAGAGTGCTCACCTAGCATGCACCAGGCCCTGTGTCCCATCCCCAGCACTACACAGGCCAGGTGTGCTGATGCAGACTTATCACCCCAGCAATTGGGAGGACGATCAGAGTCAGCCTCGGCTACGAAGTGAGTTCCAGGCCAGCCTGGGCTACATGAAACACTGTCACAAAAAGTAAGACAAATTGGCTCAATGAATAAATAATTAGTATAATTTCATGCCACCCGGTGGTGAGTGTGTCAATACCACTCAGAATAAGCTTTTACTTTGTGGAGCATTCATTATTTTTTCTAAGATTTCTCTTAAGCTGGGCAGTCTATATTTTGGTTTGTTAAATGTGCTGACTCAAGCTGGCAAGGAAGGAAAAAAAAAAAAGCTGGGGGGAACGGTGCTTGCGGCCAAGCCTGACTACCTGAGTTCAATCCCCGACCCCACATGGTGGAAGGAGAGAACCAACTCCTGAAGGTTGTCCTCTGACCTCCACACACATATACACACATAGAAATAAATGTAATTTTAAGCTGGGCAGTGGTGGCACATGCCTTTAATCCCAGCACTCGGGAGGCAGAGCCAGGCAGATCTCTGAGTTCGAGGCCAGCCTGGTCTACAGAGCGAGATCCAGGACAGGCACCAAAACACCAGAGAAGCCCTGTCTCGAAAACAAACAAAGAAACAAAAAAGAAATAAATGTAACTTTAAAAGCTAAAAATAAGTAAGTGTTCTGCTGC